TGCGAACTGCCCCTCTGTGTCTTCCCGTCACTTCAAATTGGGCTGCTTCTTCCTCTCGGGTCCTGCTTCATTGTCGACCTGGTCCGGGGTGACCTCTATTTGTTTTCTTGTCTCACCAGACTGAAGATTTTTTCACCTCCATCTTCTTCTCAAGATCGCACATTTGACATCTGACATTTGCAATCTTTCGCGTCCTTGAAAGACGTACCACGTACTTAACGCTAGACACGGGGACGTCCTGCGCAGGTCCAGTGACATATTTTAGCTGCCACCCACTACTCCCCTCTTCCGCCTTCCCCTCGAGCTCCTCCACCAACGACAGCGCCAGACAGCGGCCACCTAGAGCCTCAGTGCCTCCTTGGCCAGAAGACAAGTCCCCACCGTCACCGCTACTATTGACTCCAACGCCCATCCACCTGAGCCGTTTGTCGGGCCCCATCTTCAGCAGAAAAGGCACTCCAGGCTTGCCTACTTGTACTCAGCTCACGGGCCATTACGGGGACTATTACATCGGTCCAATCACGACTGCTGGTTGTCACGCGACAGGCGCAATTTGCAGAGCAAGAGGTGAACTTTGATGCGCCAGATCTATTACAAGCTGGCTTGAAAACCTTCCAGGCCCTTGCGAATTGCAAGCGGCCACCGAAGAGGGAAAAAGGACGACACGCTAAGACACCTACTACACACTACACACCACACCGTTCCCGCTATTGCACCAGACCAGACCACCAGACCACCAAAACCCCCCGCCCCAGCTTTGTCGCCTCCCAGATCGCTCCGCCTGGCTCGATCGCCACCAACAGGCCAACTCGAGAACTTACGTCGTCATTTTTCACCACGCTTCTCATCTACACTCTTGCAAACATCACTTGCCAAACGACGACAATCGCTAACTTTCCCTCCTCAACACCTTTTCCTTTCGTTGTTGTAATTGTTCCTTTCGTCCCTCGCTCACACCCTTTGACATCTGTTTTCTTTTTCCCAGCAAAAGAACCCGCCGTCTCTCAAATCGCCTTCCGGTCCTCCAACCCCGGTTTCCGTCGACCGAGGCAACAGAAACAAGCGGACTCCTCTGGCTTTCTTTGGTGGAGGCGACAGCGAAGTCCTCAGGAATCCAGCAGACCCTGTATCTGTTCACCTGACAGAGGGCAACCCCTAATATTTCAGTTTTTTAATTCTGGGAGGCTTTCTCGATTTTTGTTTTTTTGTTTCTTACGAACATCGTCGTCGCCGGTGAGGGGTTGATCGGGTGAACATGCCCGCAGAGCCAGATTTGGGTGCGATTCAAGCCTCTCTGCGGGTCTTGAACGTGACTAAGACGGCTTACCCTGCCATTGTACTCATCGTCTTTGTCGTCGCATTCGTCTATCATGGCATCAAGACCGCCCCTGATGACACAGGCAAGGTCAAAATTCATCCTATGCGAGGGCCTGGTGGGCGACCTCTCCCGATTCGAAGGAGATCCGCCAATCAAGTCAAGGAGGCCGCGGCAATCAAAGATCTGTCGCCTGCAGTCAAGACCGTTTTCAAGGTCGGCCAGGCTGTTATTGTCTTGACCTTTTTGGGTAATGCGGCAATTCTGCTTTTCGAGACTTTGCTCAATCGAAAAGACGAATGGTGGCCCGGGAAGAACGCTGTGGTATGTTCGCGTCCGCTTAATACTCTCTCTCGCTCCGCAACTTACAACGTTAGATCTATGTTATTGCGTCAACATTTCTCTGGCTCGTTGTTTTCATCTCAATCTTAGATACGAAACCCTCCCCCAACTCCGCGCACTTCGTCACGTGGCTTTGCGCACTACCTCTGGAGGTTATCATCATCGCGGCTAGTCTCAGGATATATACCGCACCTCACTATGAACCTCGGGTGGGCAACCAGCAGGGAGGCAAGTATAGGGAGAAGATTACCGGATGGGAGTCGCTAGAAGTCGTGGTCAATCTTAGCCGACTTATTTTCCTCCTCGGCTTGTCAATGCTCTTCCTTGTCCTGAAGTTCAATTGGGGCAGACCCAAAGGGTTGGCTTCAGCCACCGAGGATGAGAGGAGACCTTTACTCGCCGCAGACGCTGAGGCTGGAGGACGACCAAATGGCCATGCTCGTCATGGCGATCCGCGAAACGCCCCATCATCAGAACCTAAGGAACAAGTTGACGCTTGGGCCAAGCCAACTGAGGTTCCAAATATCACCTGGTTTGCATATCTGAGGGGGTTCCTCTTGCTGATACCTTATCTTTGGCCCAAAAAGTCCTTCAAACTCCAACTTCTCGCCGGGTCCTGCTTCCTCATCATGATCAGCCAGCGAGTCATCAATGTTTTTGTCCCCGTCATGGTAGGCAAAATTACGGATGCCCTGTCCGGCGATGACGGCCGTGGAGTCCGGGCTCCTTGGTTGGATATCGCGTTGTACATTGTGTTCAGATGGCTTCAAGGCTCGCAGGGGATCCTCAGCGCAGCCAGATCGATTCTCTGGATTCCGGTGGAGCAATACTCTTACCGCGCCATTTCAACCGCCGCCTTCGAGCATGTGCATGGTCTCAGCGCAGAGTTCCACACCGGAAAGCGCACTGGCGAGTTGATTTCGGCTCTGAACAAGGGAAGTTCAATCAATTCATTCCTCGAAATGGTGACTTTCCAGGTTGGGCCGATGGTTTTTGATCTGGTGGTCGCGGTCGTGTACCTCACCATCAAGTTCGACGCCTACTTGGGCTTGGTTGTCGCCATTGTGACATTTCTCTACATATATGTCACCATACGTCTTGCGTCGTGGCGAGTCACTCTGCGTCGAAACTACGTCAATGCTCAAAGAGAGATGGAAGCAGTGAAGAACGATTCTCTACACTCTTGGGACACGGTGAAATACTTCAACGCGGAAGATTACGAATTCAACCGATATAGATCCTCGATCAAGCTCATGCAGAACTTTGAATACTGGGTGGATGTCACTCTGGCCTACATGAACACGGTACAGGGTGCACTCTTCATGGTTGCCTTGCTGATCGCCAGTTTCATCGAAGCCTTCGAAGTTGCCCAGGGGGATCAGACCGTGGGCAACTTTGTGCTTCTGATAACCTACATGGCTCAGTTGCAGGGACCTCTGAACTTCTTCGGGACGTTCTACAGGTCGATTCAATCAAATCTCATCAACGCCGAGAGAATGCTGGAACTCTTCAAAGAACAACCGCATGTTCTTGACCGAGAAGGTGCCGAAAAGTTGGAAGAATGTGCGGGGGATATAATATTCGACAACGTCAGCTTCAGTTACGACAAGCGAAGACCTGCCCTTGACCGATTGACTTTCCATTGTCCGCCTGGATCGACCACTGCGCTTGTTGGCGAATCTGGTGGGGGCAAAAGTACAGTTATGAGGCTAATTTTCCGCTACTACAACCCAGACTCGGGCCATATCAAGGTTGACGGCAGAGATGTCCAAGACATCACTATTGACTCACTGCGAAAATTCATTGGGGTGGTGCCTCAGGATTGTAACATGTTCAATGAATCCATCATGTACAACCTCAGATATGCCAACCAAAACGCCACAGATGAGGAGATCTTCGAGGCCTGCAAGGCAGCCTCGATTCATGACCGCATCATGGAGTTTCCCAACGGTTACGAAACCAAAGTTGGTGAACGTGGCGTACGTCTGTCTGGCGGAGAACGTCAACGCGTCGCCATAGCCCGAACAATACTCAAAAATCCCCGTATCACCATGCTTGACGAAGCCACTGCGGCCCTGGATACGGAGACGGAGGAGAAGATTCAAGAATCCTTCAACACCCTCGCGGAAGGACGGACGATGATTATCATTGCCCACCGACTGAGCACCATCGTAAACGCCAACCAGATTCTGGTACTTTCCCATGGAACCGTGGTCGAAAGTGGTACGCACGAAGAACTCATCGCTCTGGGCGGAAAATATGCAAGCATGTGGCGGAAGCAGTCAAGGGCGCAGAAGGCTGCCGCCGAAGCCGCCGAGCTAAGGACTCGGGCGAAGAAGGCATTGGAAGATGCGGAGGCCGACAGTGCCAGCGTCAGTGAAGAAGAAGTCGAGCAATCGAAGAAGCGCGACAAAGGTCAATGGACCAAGGGCCACAAGAGGGTTAACTTTAGTGAAAGCAGTCATCTGCGGGCGAACTGGACAGTGGATGAGCATGATCGAGACGGCGACGATCGATCAGACACATCCCAGACGGGACATGGAGATACCGTGCACGGTCACTCGGGAAAGCCCCCAGGACATCCTTGAGATGAAACGATCTTATGCTTGAATTTACCACTTGACCTGTTGCGAGCTGGAACCGGTCAGCTCGACACCTGCCCAACCATGTGCGGCTATACATGATATTCGGGTCTTTGGGAGGGTGGTTCTATCTGCTTATTTTTTGTGGGTTGTTTTCGCAAACGAGTATTACGCAGTTGTGATCGGACGACCAAAATAACGCCAGCCACGCGAGGGTTTCACAACGGACTGGGAGTTGGAGAGCGCGCTCTGACACGGTACAAAAGTCCTTTGCTACTCCTTTTTTCCCCCTTCTTTCTGTTCAGATATTTTAGGGGTGTCAAGATCTTCATCTCGCTCACGCAAGGAATATGCGAAAAGAAGCCGGAGCCTCGTGGCCTTGAGGTGCATGCAATGACAGGAAGGAGACGAGGGTCATGCGTGAGATCTGTCATCTCTTTCCCTCTGTGTGTGTGATCGAGAGAGTGAGGCAGCGAGAGTGAGAAAAACAGAGAGAGAATGTCGGTGCTTGTGCTTGTGCTTTTGTGGACTTTTGCATCGTCTCTCCACCTCAGCGATCGAAACACTGTACTCTACACTACACAGACCAGACAGATTGGACACATGAAAAGGCCATATAATAGATGATGAGAGTTTGTAATAGACAACTCTTGCTCTCCTGCTCCCGACCCACATCTTTTCCTCGGTAGACGGGTAGTAGTAAGTATCCTGAACGTCATCCCTGGTCCAGCAGACATGAGAGAGGGTGAGGATGACCAAAGTCAAAACCGGCGTTTCTTCTTCGCCCCATCCGTGGCTGCGATGGTGCGCTTGAGTTCCATTCGGCGTCGGCTCGCGGCTTCTTCGGGCGTTTCTTCTTCCTTCTTGTTCGTCCTTGGCTCGATCGCTGGCTTTGTGCGTGTTGAGCCTGGTGGGGGAGGTGGTGGTGAGTGGTCCTGGCGCTGGCGCTGGCGTCGGGTGGTAGCGAGGGCGGGGTTGCGGGTGCGGGATCGGGACGTAGCGGACGAGGATTGTGACGGGGAGCGAGATGCGGAGGGTGACTGCGTATTTGTTGCGTCTTCTTTACCCTGCGCTCGCGGGGACGGGGATGTAGTTGTGTCGCGTGCCCTTTTGCGGAGACCGCCCAGTCGACCGGGCTTCCTTTTCGCAGGGGACTCGGTGTGGGCGCTGTCTGGGGTATCCTTGCCCTTGGATGTATCTGGCGATGGCGGCGTCGCTTGTTTCTTTGCCACCCCTCCTCCTCCTCCCAGGCGGCCTAGACGACGTCGTTCATGTGCTGGCGTCGAGGGTTTCGCTTTGGTTGGAGGTGGAGATGCGGACGCGGTTGACGATGTGTCGTTTAGATCGTCGTTTTCCTCTTCTTCTTCCTCTCCCCCTGCCTCGGGTGTCTTCGATCCTCGCGCGGCGACACGTACATTGTGAGAAGGGGGCTCTTGCTCAGCGGCTCTTCCTGTAGAAGAGGTAGATGACCCCGGCCGCGCCGCTGGTGCTGGTGGTGAGGGTGAATCCGAAGCCTTTCTGGATCGCAATGCGCCGATCTTGGACTTTTGCGTCAAGTGACTGCTCTTATTCTGTGGTGCAACGGGTGCCTGGAACCTTTGGTCGGCAGCATCATCCACTTCTGAAGCTGTCGCCGTGGATGTCGACGCCGTGGAGGCCCGACGACTTGAAGGTGACTTGCTCACAGCAGCGTCCACAGGGCTTGGTGACCGCTTCGACGCGCCAAAGGCTTTTGTGGCATTTCGTCGACCTAGACCGCCGATTGTCGAGGGCTGTGCTCGTTTGGGGACTGGTTCATCGTCCTCGGTTTCCTCGTCCGCTGTGTTTTCACGTGTCGTCTTCTTAGGAACATCCTTGGACTTCAGGTGTGGTGGGGTCGCTTGACGCTGTAGACATGTCAGTCGTGGGAATCGTGGATACCTTACGTAGAGTCGAACGTCTCACCTCGAATTCGTCGTCTGTGGATTCGTCGTCTCTATCCGGCTCTTTTATTTCATCTTTTGAGGCCTTTGTTGATGGTGACACAGACTGGTTCCTGCTTGCATCATCGTTTTGATCTGGTTTCTCCGTGGAAGGCAGATCTTTCACCCAGCTTTCATGCTCGGCTTTACTGTGCGCGAAGCACTTCTCACAACCCCGGACGAGGTTGCTCAGCCCGGTACGGTCAGCGCCCTCGTACCCCTCGTCGTTAGCGAACTGTCTCGTCCACGATTTCTCGTCGAAACTCGTCATGCCGGGGACATGCTTCTTTGCGTCCGCGACAGACACATGGCCACCCTTGCGGGACGCAAAGCCCGCGATACCGGGGAAGACCAAGCTCAAGTCCACGGCAGAGTTACCAACTCTGTCGAGCAGGCGTGAGATGATGTGGTCCTTGTCCTTGATGATCCCGAGCAGGGAGTTGATTTTGTTTTGGGAGACGAAGACCTCGTGCAAGCTAGGCCGAAGGACGCGTTCTGCCAGCTCGGAAGCGCGCTGCGGCTCGAGGGTGAAGGTCCACTCAAGGGGCCGGAGTGGACGAGGCAGATCTGTCCTTGTCCGCAGCAGCAGCGTCCGCGAGTTCGCACGGCCGCCGCGAATCAGGGAGTTCGCGCCATCCCCGAGACTTGTGCGGATCTTGGAGAGCAGGACCCCCAACTGGTCCGATGAGACGGATGGGTCAATGCTCGTCTGTTGTCGGGCGGCTGCAGCAAGGATGTCATACTTGTCAAGCGAACACTCCCAGATAGAGATCAGGTCGGTGAGGAGGAGGGTGAGTGACTGTTCTTCCGTAGAGAAGGAGTAGAACAGCTTGGGGCATTGTCGACGAGACGTCGTCTGTAGTTCCTGCCAGCCTTCACTGGTGGTATCGGGCATTGTGTCACATGAATCTGTTCACATGCTGCTCCCGAAAAGATCTTAAAGGCTGTCAGTGTCTGTGTAGCCTTTCCAACTTCAGCAGTTGACGTCGTTCGAGGTCGAAGCCATATTCAGACTGAGGAAAAGAGCCAATCAGGGCAAGACTTGGCAGCCTCACAACGAGAACAGCTTCGACGTCGTCAACATCGGTTCTTCCTCTTCTTATTCTCACTTCCTGCAACCAATGATGTTAGAGGTCGACGACCCGATGTTTCTGGCCTATAAGGTGCTATATCGCTACTATGCTAGGCTGCCCACTCATTTGCCGCCGACCTTGACTGGTTCGGTGGTTAAGTGCTAGTACCTAGCACCGACACGGGCTGTTACTGGTCATCAGCCTGGTGTGTTGTTCCTGACTCCAGCCAAGTTCTCAATGTGTGACAAGGTGAGCAGTGCTCGAACATCTAGCCCCCACCAAGCCCGAGCAAGGCCAGGTATATCAAGTTCGTAATTGCCGGTCTCATTGACCCAGTCGTCCTGGGTCATTGTATGTCGGCGTCACTCTCCAGACCTCTCTTTACTCGACTAACAACGATACCGTGAGCTGGTTCGCCCCGAGTCACAGCCAAAGGCAGCAGCAGCTCACCCGATCACCATGTCGCAAAAGCATTCTGAGAATCTTGTTGTCAGTGAAATAAAAGACTTCCAGCGGTTTCGCCATATCCACTGGCGAGCACCAACTATTATGGGCGTTGGTTTTCTGGGCGGCGTTATTCTCATGGCAGCCCACCACGCCCTCTACCAGAGCCTGGGCGGGAACCCTCCGGATAGCGCTCTGCTGCAGCTATGGGCGATTCGTGCAGGCACAGCGCTAGCCTTCCTGTCCAAGCTGTGTCTAGCGATCGCGACGGGAGTTGCGTATGATCACATTGTACAATGCGTCTTACGACACGCATTTCGAGGTCAAGAGCACTGGAGCACAATTCGTCACGGCCTCGTTGAAGCTCGAGGCTTGGATGCCTGCCCTCCGCTCAATGCAGGGTACGCCACAAGACACGCGTGTCCGTCAACAGATGAATATGCAAGCCGTCATGGAATCCTTTGTCATGATGATCGGTGGGCCCATCACATACTCCAGAGACATCTCTTTCCCGACGATCAACTCTGTCTACGCTCTTGGGATGAACCAGGCCTTATTCCCCGCGCAGCCAGGCCTGGACCAAACGGCCCTGACGCTCCGTCAAGCCAGACAGAATGAGATGCTGTTTCAGAACATTACGCTGAGTATGCGGTACCGCGTTGTCTCGGGGTAAGTTTTTCTTTCACATGCATCACGTCAGCTTTTAATTTCCCTGGGGAAATTCTTCTTATTCCTCCTGCCCGGTATCTAGGTCAACTAAATGACATGAAAACCCAGGTCCACTGGGAACGACCAAACGACAGCCACGGCGCTGCGCCAAAGGTTCGAATCACAGTTCGTCTACGACCCGCGAGCGCTCCTCGCGGCGTATGGGCTGGGCGCATTCTTCGCCCTGGCCTGTGTCCTGCTGGGCGTGCACGCGCTGCTCCACAACGGCGCCTCGTACACCAGCTCCTTTTCCACCATCGTCAGAGTCACCCGCGACCCGGCTCTCTCGAGACTGATCGCCGACGAGGGCGATCTTCAAGGCGCCGAGCCCGTGCCGAAACATATTCGCAGAGCGGAGGTGCGGCTGGGGAGGAGCGCGAGGTCGGTCACGACGGCGCCGAGTTACTCGTCTAGCTGGATTTGAAGCGATTGTCCACTATAGAACCGAGTTTTTGTGGTAATACCAGAAATTCAACGGGTAAAAGGCCAAGGTTCATTTTTGTCTGTTTGTATGTGATATATATATAAAATATCCCCGCGGATTGGGTTGGTTTTGGCTAGATCCCTAGGTCTGGTGGCGGTATGTAGAAATCCCCCAGCTCGTTAAACAGCGAATCCCAGTCGATCAAGTCGCCCCCCGAGTACTCGAAAGAGAGGTTATCCGGGTACGGCGGGGCGCCGAATTCGCCGGAAGGTTGGGCGCGATCGCTCGCCGCGGCAAGACGTTCACTGAGAGACTGCGCGGGCTTCTCTAGCCCGAACTGCTCCTTCAGCCGCCTGATGGTGTCCCACATGATGCTGGACGCCATTCTCGACTTGGTCCTCAGCGCGAAGCCATTGCCCTCCCGCTTTAACGGATGCTGGCTGAGGTAGGAGATGGTGGTACACGTTCGCGTCAGGTAGTCGTGCTCCGTGACGGTGCAGGCGTGCAGCGTGTTCCACGCCTGGCCAATTGCCTTTCTCGTGGCGGCGAGGTCGACCAGCGGGTGCTCGCTGTCTCGAAGCATCAGGAGGAAAAAGGTCGCCGCGATGAGCGATTCCTTCGTGTGGACGCTCCAGGAGATGATTTCGTCTTCGGCGTTATTGGCTATGTTGATAAGCTTCAAACCTGTCGCAAGAGCCGGGCCGATGAACTCGTCCACGTTAGAGTGTCGGCCGTTTTCAGTCGTCGAGTTTGAGGAGGTGATTGCGTAGATATACAGGTTCAGCTTCGATCCGAGGAAAAGAACCTCTTCGTGTGGTGACCACAAAACCCCGTGTGTCGATTCCATGAGCGAAAATTCCTTCTCAAACATGTGGATGGCCGAAATCGAGCTCTGGAGGACACCCGCCGGACTGAGGTCGGAATTGCCTAGGGTAGTGTTCGTTCGGTATGAAAGATATGCGATCTGGAGTTGTTGCTTCAGCCGCAAGGGAATAGCGGGAGAGGGCGAAGACAACGCTTCGAGGATGGTATGGTCGATGGGTGTGGTGCAAGGAACTCCGATCCTACGACTCGCCCTGATCGCAGAACATTAGTGGACGATCGAAAAGGTCGGGGACAACATACATCTCATTAACGATGAAGCAGGCAACCCATGCTTTCCTTCTGGGCACAATGGCGTCTTCATCGAATTTGGAGCCGTAGATAAAATCATTGCTATATTCCGGTCGATGTAAACCTATTTGGAGGGCTGCATGGGTGGCAATCCCGCTGTAAGTCCACGACAGGTCGGTCCAGCTTCTGTCATCGCCTCCTGCCCAGGTACAGAGGAGCAACAGAGCTTGAATCATTTCCACCGATCGATTTGCAAGGTATTCGGGACTGAGGACAAGCCTCTTCAGCGGCTGGCTGAGCTGGGAGTACAAGCTGACATGCGGGCGGCATTTTGCAGCAACCAGGATGATGCTCCAGAACAGAGGAGGCCATTTCTTGGAAGATCTCAACGTGACCGAGGGTGCGGACAATATGGGAAATCGAGGATGGTGATGGACGTAGTATCTTTACGACAGTGTCAGAGGGCGACGCCGCAAGACTTCACCACGAAACTCACCGCTCAAACAGCTCAACGATGGTATTGGGATGAATAGTGATGTTTTCCAGGGTCACTGATTCCAGTTCTCCGGCAAAGCTCGCGAAAGGGAAAGTCGCAAAGTCCTCCTCACCCCCAGGTAGGCGTGCCTGGGGTTCGGTCGACGCACGGTCAGAAGCAGACGGCGCATGTTCTAGTTTCTGTTTCGCCTGGAGAAGCTCCTCTTCCAGTCTCTCAATGCGCCTTGAATCAAGTCAGGAATTTCCATCCAGAGGACGCGTTTGACTTACTCCTGTCGCTTCTCGCGCCGGAAGGAAGAGTCGATCAGACATCGTGACCCAGTTCTACTACATCTGCTACAAGGAGCAGGGAAAGTCTGACTGGAGTCACATTTCAACTGCGCGAGAGGTCAATGACTTAGTCGCATATTCAAGGGTACATGGAGGACAAGCCGCACTAGACAGCATCGCGTTGTGTGCTCAGCCTACCTTCAACTGGCGGCATTGAGTGCATGCCGGGCCTTTGTTTCGAGATTTGTGGATCTTGTCCACGGTCTGCATGATGAAAACTCAGCCGTATGACGGGAAAGCCGCCAAGGCATTTCGGTGAACTGGAAGCAAACGAGCCAACAGGAACATCTCATATGGTAGATGTTGCTCTGTATAGAGAGAAAAAGATGGAGCGAGCTTGAAGTGTGTCACGTCTACCAACCTCGTCGAATTGAATTCTGCCGAAGTTTAGCCACTGAGTTGCGCCTTGCCCGCTGCCCGCCTCTTTTTTACTCAACAGACAGGAAACCTTGTAGAGATCACACTTTGCACTCTTTCCACGACAAATCACAAGACTATGAGCGACGTCCAGCAGACCTACAAGCGGAAGCGATCCCAATCCCCTCCACCCTGGCGGCGGGGTGATGACAGCAGACAGTATCGAGAACGAGACGCTCCAAGAGGAGGGCGAAACCATGGCCAGCCTCAGCGATGGTCCCACAAGGACCAGATGAGGATCAATCAGATGCAGGAAGATGAGCGCATGAGAGAGTGGGTTGCGCAAGAGGACGATTTCGTTCTCAAGCAGGCTAAGAAGAAGGCAGACATCCGAGTCAAGGAAGGGCGAGCGAAACCCATCGACTGGTTGGCAGTAACCCTCCGTGTGGTCGACCCTACCCGCAATCCGTTGGATGATGAGGTTGAGGAGAAAGATCTGGACTTTGTGGACCCGGACAGCGTCTTTGACGGACTCTCTGAAAGCCAACTTTCCGAGCTGCGCCGAGATATTGAGACATACATGAATCTGGAGAAAAACAGGAAGAATAGGGACTATTGGCAGACCATGCAAATCATCTGCAAGGACAGGCAGAAGAAGCTACGTGCGTCAGGTCCAGAAGGAAGAGCAATGAGCTCCGTGGCGTCCGACATAGACAAGCTTTTGGGTCCCAAGTCATACGAGCAGCTGGAGGTATTGGAGGGACAAATAAGAACCAAGCTGGACTCGGACGAACCTATAGATACCGACTACTGGCAGCAGCTCTTGGATAGCTTGCTTGTTTGGAAGGCAAAGGCAAAGCTCAAAAGAGTCTGTCAGGACGTTCTCGAGTCGCGCTTGAAGAATCTGAAGCAGGAGAACGAACAGAAAGCACGCTCGGTCCAGCAGCAACTTCAGAATGCTGGAGTCGAGCCCGCAGTCTCTCCCCAACATTCGAAGGAGGTTGATCCAGACCCGCTATTGGAGATTCCGACAAAGGACAAAGGCCTGGAAATCCAGGACGAGAGGACGTTTCTTCAAAATGTGGCAGCAAGCAGAAGGAAAATCGTGCATATGGGCTACGTTCCAGCTCCCAAAGCTGGTGCCAGCACGGCCTCAACGATCTCGACTTCACTACAGCCTCGACCAGCGGCGCAACCATCCAAAACCGTGGATCCCACCAGTCGATTCGACCGCTCGACAGAAGATGTATCCTCAACAACAAAAGCCCTCTTTGACCGCGAAGTCGCCAGAGGCGTCAACGAGAACGAGGAGATTTTTGCCGGCGAGGAAGAGACGTCGTCCGAATCCAAGCCGCTCTGGATGCAGGAGTACGGGGGCAAATATCGGCCGCGCAAACCGAAGTACTTCAACCGGGTCCAGATGGGGTACGAATGGAACAAGTACAACCAAACCCACTACGATCACGACAACCCTCCACCGAAAGTCGTCCAGGGTTACAAATTCCACATCTTCTATCCCGATCTGATCGATCCTACAAAAGCCCCCACGTATAAGATCATCCGAGAAGGAGGCCGAAGGAAGGGCCAAACCATGGCACCTGCGGGCGAAGAAGATACCTGTATCATCCGGTTTATGAGTGGGCCGCCTTATGAGGATATTGCGTTTAGAATTGTGGACCGAGACTGGGATTATAGCTCCAAGCACGACCGAGGGTTCAAGAGCACGTTCGAAAAGGGGGTATTGACGCTGCATTTCACCTTTAAGCGGGTGGTATATCGGAAGTGAGGAGACGTGGTGGTGCGTCAGCAGACAGAAAGAGGTTTACGCAGATTGCTAGCACATCGTTTGCTTTGAACCGAGCTGAAGGAGCTGACGGAGCTGACGAGGCTGAAGACTGTCGGTGTGCCTTATGTGAGGGCCTTGTACTGCTTGTCATGAAGAGTCACGTAGGTCGGATTCTATCGGACTAGCCCCCCCTCCCCATTGATGTGACGAGGATACGCAGCGAATTTTTAACGAAGTGATCAATCAAGCAAAGGGTTCACGATTGCCTGCCTGACCCATTGATGACCAACACACAATGCACGCCCTCCGAGATCTGTCAGATCTGTCATACTGAATGCTGTGTTTTCTACTGCCTATGAACTAGTCTCTAGTCTCTAGTCTCTCCGTCTATCCGTCCCTCCTATCCCTCCTCGGCCTATCTATATACTCGTACTTCTCACGGAAAAGGAGGGGAGAGAGGATGGGTGGCCCAACAGAGTAGTGTAAGTGGTGAGAGGTGCGAAATGAGAAATGAGAGAAGCGAGACGCCGGCCGGCATCCCACGGAATTCAGATATTGATGGGTGATTACCACCAGTACTTTGCGACTCTGACATGCACGAGGCGTGTCTGTCTCTGTATCCCGCATGCCCCCTCATTATTCACTCTCTACCTCCTCTACCTAAACTACCCGAGCGCGCCGAGATACAAGACTACCTGTTCACAGGACCCTTGGGACCCTTGGTACTGTAGCACGGTAGATACCTGGTGCGCCACCGCACTACCAACCAACCAACCATGCAGTGTCGATCCGTCGATCCCATGACGTCGAGTAATTGCAGTACCAAGTACCTACTACCAAGTACAAAGAATCAAGTATCCAGTGTCAAGGATTCTAACAGTTGAACGGGTGAGCGGGACGATAGTGTCTCGCGTGCTGCCTTACCACCGTGAAATAAATCTACAGAGGGAGACAGTAGGTGGGTGGATGGGTAACTGGACCTGCTCAAGAAAACGTACGCAATTGGGATAGAAAAACGTGTTTGGTCTTATTATGTCTAGGGTCTTTTTGCCAAACAATCCCCCAAAGAATGAATGCCACGCTCGACGTCAACTCTTCACCCTCAAAAACTCCCGCTGTGTAGTGTGTCTCAAATGCTAAGAGGGATATCCAATGCAGCAACGCTTCAACGAGAAACCAGTCGTACACAAAATAAGGGATTTTGAAGTACATGTCCGCCATTTTTGAGGCCAGACTCATCAGACCATATGCGCTCACCATTCCATTAGATATAGTCAATAGAAATAGTAGTACAGATGCATCTGAAGAGCAATATCATGGCTCTGGATCCGGAGCCTGCTCTTTTGTCGTCTCGCGGTCCGAGTCCGTGGGCTCGAGTTTCTTTTCGTCGTGATGCTTGTCGCCGGGCTCGATGCCACAGTCTTCCTCCCAGGTCACGGTTTCTTTGTGCATGTCTCGTCGAACCCATGGAATGGTGATGCCCACCCAGATGGCCACCCAGACGAAGGGGACACCCCAGCCTAAGGCCCACATCAGTTACGTCCTTGACCATGTTCTTGGGACAGAACTTACCAATACCATAACCCACGTCCTTGGGTACGGGGTGGATGCACACCACCACGATGCACCCAATCGACATCAAAAGTCCCGGAATGGACCAGAACAGAGACTGGACCAAGATCATCCTCCGGAACCGTGGACTTGCTCTATACCGCGCAGCCAAGGCTTCGCGGAAAGGCCTGCCGGCGTTGGCGTTAACCGCGACGACATCCTCGATCAGGTAGTATGCTCCAGGGTACACAGCGGCGCCCTTCTCGGTAGAGCTGATCCGGAAAGGCGCCTTGGTGTGCGTAAGGTTGAACATGGTAAGGATGAATACACAACCTGTGATGCAAAAGAGGAGCGCTGGGGCGGGCAACGAAAGAACCCGCAACCAAACAATGTGAGGCGCACTGCCGACAATGAGCAGCGCGGTCACGACGGTGATAGTCAGGACAGAAATCCAGTTGGTGATGTCGAAGGCCCATCGATTCGAGGTCCCCAGAGGTCGAAAGAAGTTCTCCTTCTTAAACAACCGCCAGGTCCTGACTGCGAACTCGACGTATGTAGGCCCACCCCAGATAGTGGCCACGACTGCGAAAACTATCGAGGTTGTGTTAGCCAGGGCTTCACAAAAGGTCCTGCAGAGAATCCGGGACTTACTTATCCAACCCTCAACGTGTCCCGCGAATTTCATGGTATAAAATAAGACAATGGGAATGATACAGGCGTCCACAATGATTGTAAATATCGTCAAGAACAGTTTCCATCGCCGCCACCCGTGTCTCCAGGTAAAAGGTAGTTGTGGCAGGAGCGTGGGATGTTGAGTATAGTAGTCTTGTAGTGTACTCGCTCGCCTTCGGAATTCTCGCTTGGTCGCAGCACGACTATCATAGTATGCGTCTCTTTCAGGCTCTGCTTTGCGCTCTTTTCTTGCTTGTTCTCGGCTCTTTCTTCGCTCCGTGGCAGACATAGTACTGAGCCCAGTATCAACGGCTCTCAGACCCGGTGTCGGAGTCTCTTCTCGCTCGAGTTCAGGCCTATCGGTTCCAAAGTGAACACCGCGTGCTTCTCGCAGAGGAGAGGTGGGAATCGCTCCATCATGTGATGCCTGTCGACTGGCGTCTACCTGAAAACTGGCACGACTGCCCCGAACAACTTCCGGCATGGCGGTGAATTATTCTTTGGACAGAATAGAGAGGTTCGGAGGGAGACAGAGAAGAGAAGGTGATTCACAAACAATGCCGGTGGGAAGGTAATGGTGTATGTTTGGCTCTTCCCCGGCGAGAAGAAGCAGAGGAGGCTTAGGAAGGTCGCGGAAAGAGATTGAATGCTTCCGTCATTCAGCGTAAGTGAGTGGAGAGGTGGTATGTAAGGGTACTGCCACCGACGGGCTTAGTACTCAAACCAAGAAACGCACTTGAGTGATTGAGACAATGTAGTGTATCTAATTGGCATTTCCCTGAACTGGATTTCGTTCTGGGCATCACGGCTTGTGACGGCACGAGATGGGCAGTTGGAGAGGACCGAGTACAGTAAGCAAAGTCAGCTCGCGTTGACTGACGTCGACTGGCCTGGCTGGCCCCTCTTGGCGGATGAAGTCCTTAGTAGATTGGTTGGGAGGTTGCAATCAGCTGGGTGGCCCGGAAGAAAGGCTCCCGGGCATCGTGGCCTCAAGCAACGGTTGCGGCCATAAGGCCAAACATAAAAAGTGCATTGCCTGACTCTTCGGGCTTAGTGCTTGACAGTACAATATACGGCAGACCATACAGCACTCATATGTACCTCGTATAACTGCCTGCAAATCTCTCCTCCGTTCTCATTCAGATTCCATTGCCTTGAAGCACAAATTGCCCCCTCTTCTCACGGAGTTATGACTCCTCAATAACTACCGCCAGACACTAGCAAATATATACATGTGGAGGCACCAGCAGTAGGCATCTGGGTGACTTTTGAACACACCCGTGGCTCTGGCACCCCTGGGTTGTGTCTTTTGAAAGTACTTTCTGTCAGACAGTGCCATCACCACCTTTTCTCTCATACGCAGATACCCCAGATAATTGTCAGGACACCGACCTTGTTTATGTCGTTGGTGCCGCGACTCAGTCAGCACAACTATTAGTGCCTAGACAGAACTGTCCTCCCACCACAGTATACCTTCATATTAAAAGCTGACAAGCCAGGAAAATCTTGAGCACCGAGCTCGTCCTGAGTGAGGGAGACTTAAGCCTTCTGCCTAATTTCTGTACGGCAAACCTTTGGCTCCAGTCCTCCTCCGGGTACGTGGTTTTATTCTGGAACTTCTAGAACAGAAAACACTTTCATACCCACGAGGAGGTGAAGCAGACATCCTTCATGCATCGACTACAGACATGATCAAGATTGGACATGAGAGCGATAAGCCTGAATATCCAGCGAGATGGGGTCTAACCTATCGATCAACTATCCCATCTCGCAGTTCCTTACCACGAAACCCATGGATCCTACTGTCTGGCAGCCTTGCCCCTAGACCAATCTTAGCCGTCAAATCTGCAATTACGTTGGCCGATCAGCCGACCCTAGATCTTGCAGCCCTTCGACGCACCGGCATGGCTTGTTAATCGCCAACCCCCCTGTGTCTTCCCAGGAGCAAAGGGCAAAGGGAAAATACACAAAGTCAAATTTTGCTGGTGCAGGACGAGAGGGTGGATCAATGCAGGTTGGCATTTGAGGCCCAACCAGATGCACTCTTCCGAACATGACAGCCCGTTGAGCCACAACCTAGTTGCACAAAGAGCTCCGCAAGCTATGCCAGATCTGATTGGGTAGGGGAATCTTCAGCATCCCGGATTCCCTTTAGACAGATGTGATACAGTACTTTACTGTACTAGCATGCAGCTGGTGCTGCCAGGCGTCTTCACTTACAGCAGAAAGGATATGAAGGTCAGTCCAGGAACCCTCTTGTTTGCGTTCCGGAGCCCGTTCCTTCCACCCCTTCCATCCCTGCCTGTTTGCATGGTTTCCACCCCCTCCCTTTCAAGCATGTACCGTCATATGCACCTTTGGATCGCTTGTCTGTTCTAAATAATACTATTCCAACCCTTTACTTTCTTTGTTTTGGCTTTGAAGCCTTAAAGCACCGCCCTTTCTTCCTGTTTGTCGCGATCTTGAAGTGAATACATTCAAGCTATCATTGTTCTATCCTCCACTCTTCCCTGCTCTGGAAAATATTCAGGTCGGCACGTCCCTCATGACCGATCGATAAGTCCCTGTGAAGAAGTTTCTGCTATTGGTCGATCAACTCAGATCTCTCAATCGATCAATGGGCAGAGTGGTCAAGATGGGAGCTCCAATCCCAACACATCATCACGAAGTATACGAAGTATACGGCAATGTTGGAGATTTTGAGCCTTCACACATGATGACCACCAGAACATTTGACGAGCGACATATACAACCATCCTCTTCAGAACCCTCTCATTTGCCAATGTACGCAAGCCAGCAGCAGGCGGAAGTCCACCCATTGCTCAAGCTGGAGGATCTGGACGAGACCGTCTACGAGAACCTGCATGTACACCATGAGGACGTCTTCCCTACAAGTACCCAACTACAGCTTTGCGATCTCGAACTTGAACCGACCTGGGCACCTCGTCAGCTATATCCGCAGTTTGTTGACAATACTGTCGTACATACCCACGACTTCAGCGCGCTCCCTCTGCTACCATACAACTCGGATTCAGTGTCACTCACGACATACCCATACTTCGAAGAGCAGAGTGCGTGGCCTTCATCACCGGAATACGGCCAGTGCCGATCATTCACCGCAACGGAGGAAGACGAAGAGGCAGGTGATGACAAGCCGTACGCCAGACTCATCTACGAAGCTCTGATGCAGGCGCCGGGTCATAGGATGATGCTCCGAGAGATCTACGAATGGTTTCGCCACAATACCACCAAACCTCGAGAGTCTGGATCAAATGGTTGGCAGAATAGCATTCGGCACAATCTCTCCATGAATAAGGTTAGCGAAACACATTCTGATGACCACGCGCACCGCCGACTAACTCTGACACAGGCATTTGAAAACGACAGGGACAGCGCCAGGGGGAACTCAAGGAAAGCAACTAGCGTCTGGATCCTGACCGCTGAAGCGATCGAGAACGGAGTGCAATCCACGACCAGGTATCGCAAGACTGGAGCTGGCAAAAAGCCACTGGGGAGTCGCACACCAGCCATTCAACGTCAAAGAGCGGGAGCGAAAGGGGGGCGAGCAGCGCGACATGCAGCCAAAAGGAAGTATCAAGAGCCAGGTGCTCTGACTGACTCGACGGCAACCCCAAGCCCATCGACCGCCTCATATTCCGATTGCACGGACTACCAAAGCTTTGACTTCCACGATCCTCGATCCACCGTGAGAAGTTGGCCAATGACCCCTGTGGAGCCGAATCTGGCAGCCGAAGAAGCGAATTTGCTCCGATGTCTGTCCCCACTAGACACCTTGGGTTTCAGGGCACAGCACATTGGCAACGGAGAAGAGAACATGCACCTGCAGAATGCTCTCTTGCAATCGATGCGGGATCAACAGCTGGAAGAACTGGTCAGATTCCATGCGGACTGAGTCTGCAGCTGAAAGCCCTCTTTTTTCCCGGGGTTGTACTCATATCATTGGTTACCACTAAATGACTTGCACGAACAAACTTCAGCAGAGCCTGTGATGGATTGTCCGGTCCCAAGGGGGGGTGGCATCAAGGCAAGGGCAGTGTGGGCCGTACAGCTGTACTCGTTACGGTTTACGGGGTTGGTCAAGACAGGGCGGTGATGCCGTCAAGGAATGACGGTCGACCTGACTATACTCACATCCCACGCCACGAGAATTTTTGTGGAGCTCTGCATAGGAGAATTGTTGCCACCTGGACGGACACACCTACGAGACCTGAGTTTTACGATTTGTACTATACCCCCCTTTCTAGCAAGAAGACAAATAATGCATTGGATGACAGATAACGAGCTGCAAGAATCAAGGAGAGACGAGCGCCGGGGGGTTGGGAGGGTTGAGGGTGAGGGTCTCTTGGCGAGGCGAGCGGGCGCCACCTGCGGGTCTGGATTTTCCCAACTTGCATTGTCATTTCAGCTCAGAATTCAGAATCCCAGATTCTCCAGCGTCTCCTCTTGCTTGTTCGAGCGTCGGATCGGCGTCACGGAAACCTTTTTTCGTCCTATGAAATGTCCTTGGTGCCCTGGTCCATGTGTTTGAGCTGCTCAGTCTCGCTACCACATGCCCACATGGCGTCAGGATTCTCCTCTCCCCGTGCCCTCGACCCGAGCCCACGCTTCCTTCCCCGGTATGGGCTGTGCCGTGCGCAGGCTAAAGTTCGTATTGGCCCCCCCCTCAGAAGTCTTGATCCCTCCGGTTCACTTCAGCAACACAACTCCCGTCGACGAATATAGGCGGTCGGCGGGAAAAACATAGCACACATAGACAGCGCGGCGGAGGATTTAGGTGTAATTGATATTACGACTGCAAGGAGGAGGGGGACGCCCGTTGAGGGTGCCCATTGACAACCCGGGGATGACAACCCAAGACGTGTCAAACAAATGCCAGGCCAAAGATCCAATAACTCTTGACACTAATGCAGCAGACTGTGATGAGCGGACAAATACCCCCGGTCTTTCCCCTCCCCCTTGATCGATCTTTCAACTTCCTGGCTGTTGATTTTCCGGTGGCGTCACGATACGGGCCAGCCTAGAGCAACACGAGTTAGTGCATCTGCCGGAACAAAGGACAGACACCAAGCCAAAGCCACCTCCTCGTTATCAACTCCGCGTGCGAACCTGCAAGACTTCTCCTCCTCGCTTCCCGCATTGGCTCAATCCTACTCCGTTCAGCCCATCCCCGGCACTACTTGAACACAAGTCTTCGAAGCTCGTCATCTAAAGCAACGGATCCGATCGGGGCTGCCAAAAGATCGTGCTGTCAAGATGCCACTTGTTGCCACCTTGTCTTGGTTGGTTTCGACTCGATGTCCTAATCGCCCTGAGAAGATTACTCCCGATCTCAGCTCCACAAAGCGGAATAATAGTGTTGGCTCCCTTGCATCGGTCCTTGCCTCAAGTGACTACCAAGACAAGTCCCATGCGGCAGAACGTGCCTCGAAATCTCGGTTTTGAGTTTGTGGAGGCGGAATATCCAATCCACTTGGCTAGGATAGGCTGGTGGATGGTGTGATCGAGCTGGGGTATCTGCGATTATCTGCGGCAGCATGCGATCGATCTCGTCACGAAATTCCCTTTGCCATCCCGCTCCCGCCTGGGCTGGAAATATAGCCCGACGTAACAAATTTCTCAATGCGGGTAAGCCTCGCTGAAAGAACTGGGCTGTTGGTTTTGGACATTGAGAGTTTCGACGCTTCTTCCTGTGCCAACCCGGGGGGGCTGAGAGACATGTCTTCGAGCCATTAGGAGTTCCAGCCCCATCTATTGCCGGGTAAGAGCCGATGTCGACGCACTTCTGCGAGGCGAACAAGGGCCAATCCCTGAACAAAAAAACTTTGCCTCTACCAAAGAAGAGCATTGGACGGACAAAAGTAGAAGACAACCCCTGGCTAGGATTGCCATCCTAATTCAGGTGCTCGCTCGATTCTCAACAAGGTCCAACATCTGCCACGGCTGAAGCTTCCGGGTTGTTGAAAAACTATGAGTCTCTTCAGAGACACAGTCTCGCAGAACGGTCCACGCCATCTCCAACCCACGCTGGTGACAAATCTTGGATGGGCAAGTCCTCATGGGCCAGACATCGTTCTGTGGTCGAACCTTGAATCTTTTTGTCCACTTTTGGCGGTGACCGTACCATGCAATACCCACCAGATTCACTCCCTGGTTAGTATCGATTGAATCTGATAGATTCAACGAGGCAAAACAGCTTCTTTTTCCCGTCAACCCGTCATGCACGGTTCCGAGTATCCCTGCCCCAGTCAATTGTTCAGAACGTGCTTGACATATGCTGAGCAACGTATGACAATACAACCTGGGATTGACCAGATCAAGACAACCACAGAAGCATCCAGGGCAAGCCTTGGAGAGTTTCGCCTTGCACTGTACCACAACATCAAACGACAACCTCGCACTGTCGGTGCACACCAGGTTCCCCAGCCAGGTTTTCCGACTAATTGACATTTGATGAGATCACTCTATTACTCGCAATGGTTGAGCCACTAGGTCTACGCCATTCCCCTCCAATCCATTGGCCGAGCACATCTGTCAGGGTATCGAAGATGGTTCCTTCCTCGAGGTTACTAGTGCCCGTTATACCTCATGATAAATGGTGTGACCAGCTCTGTCACCAGCAGAAGCCGGTCTCACAGGTATCCCACCGCCCAATTAAGCTGACTAGGGAATGTCACAACACTTCTGGCGCCCCACGGACATCCTCGACACCATGATGGCAGCCACTGGTTTTGGAAAGATAACGCTCGCGCTTTTCATCGACATGGATGGCGACATGGATCACAAGGTGGGATGAAGCCCTGCCACCTCTTCCCTCTCTCTCACCTCGAGAGGTCGAGTCTCGAATCTCGATATCATCCCCATCACTATTGAGACCCGGAAACCCAAAGGAATATTTTGAAGTTCGCGTTTCGGTCGCGACCGCCAGAGAGTTGTGACTGAAAATCTTCTGTGGTACAGATGTGTCTGTATCACCATAGCCCTCGGCCCGCCAACCCCAGCTTTATTTTCCCTAAGTATTTCTCTATTCTAGACGCAGAGGGGATGCGCAGTCCTCTGAATGTGACCTTCACATTCCCGTGCCTGGCCTCGGATGCTGCCTCCGAGCCGACACAGGATCTTTTCAATATTCTCATGTCTCGTGCCTCTCTGCAAGCGATGTGCCTGCCAGGGTGGTAACTACATGACAATGAGGTAGGACAAATGTGGCTCCCATTGCCAGACCAACTTGTTGGTGGATCCTCGAGTGGCTCGTCTGCATGGCAGCCGGCAGATATGACAGATTTGACAGCGGCATTGTGTTACCTTCCCACTCAAGAGCGCGATCTGATGGCGGTCCCTTCTTTGAGTCCCTGGAGGGTTGTTGAGTCTCGGCAATCAAGCATTTCTCACAGGAGGAATTCCGGATTGTCTTATAACTGTCGTTCAACCATTATCTACCTGTTGGACAAGTGCTTTGCAAAGAACTGAAGATGTGAAAGTGCAGGAGAAATCGGCCGCGGAAATTTTGCCTTGATTCCGTTCTCGTAAAAGCGCTGTGAGCCGTTGCGCGGTGTTACTACGAACCTCAACCAACAAGAATATCTTTGCATGCGAAGATTGATGCGCATGGAACAGATGGTCTCTCACCCATCGCGCCGCTTGGGGCCAGATCGTGGCTGCTATCACTATTCCGCATCTGAAGTGGACGAGGCTGCAGGCACAATTGGGCTGTTCCAGGGTGAGTATGCGACGGACGACTGAATTCTACTATACTGACACTTTGCGAGAAGGTGGAATTGTGACCGTATGCAGAACATGTTCATGTCACGTACTGCCGGAAGTGTTACACCGGCTCTTACGATAGTCCACTCAGGACAATTCCAGCCCTGTTTCTCTTTCCAGAGTGATGCTGTCATCCAGATGTTCTGCGGAAACGATAATACCTTGTCACAATGGCCCTGTCCTGGAGAGCCAGGTGGACGGCGCCCAAATATTGCGATGCCGATCTCACCGACCTCTATGTCTTACGAGGACGAGCAACCACAGACTAAACTTCGGCGACTTCACTACTAGGGTGTTGTCGTGATACCCGAACAAGGCGGGCGCAAGGAAGCAGGAGGATGGAGGAGAGGAATGGTCCACACATGCCATAGAACTCTGCAATGACATGAGAACTGTCTGGGCTCTTCAAGAGAACAAATCACGCCACCTATTCTACTGGTACTCCGATCGAGATATTTCCTAGAGTTGAAACCACCTCGTAGTGACATTTGACCACTCGAATCGTGAAACTTGTTGTCTTTCAAGATGCTTCTCTTCCACCTGCCCGAAGCCTAGGTGACACAAGTGCAGCACCATCATCGTGCACACATTGGAATATTTTCCATTGCCATTGCCATTTTTTTGCTCTCTGACCATCGCCGTTGACCGCATGTAAGTTTCGGTCACAAGCAAGACGCCCCATGTCTCATCAAAAGAATTTGGTGACAGTCATCTTCCCACCTCCCAGCTACACCCTTGGGAAATCCTGCTCTATTTCTTCCCCGTCTTCTTCTCCTGCGTCTCCTTCAGCACCTTCTTGACAATCTTCTGCTCCTCGATCAGGAACGCGCGGACAATCCGGTCCCGTACGCAGTTGCCGCATCTTGAGCCTCCATATGCACGCTGTACGGTCTTTTGTGGTCTGCTGGTGGTGGCGTACTCCTTGGGTCGCAGGGCGGGAATCTATAGAACCAACACGTGGCTTTTTGTTAGAAAAGAGGTCTTCAAATCCTTCTGTGCGTAGATTGAAAGATTGGTTTGTGGGGGTGGGTGTAGATGTGCTGGTCTCTCTCCTCCTTTCAACGGCTCATCACTTACACCTGGTAGTTTGACGCCGCAGTCACCGCATTTCGGGGCTGTGCCGCGCTTCTTGATGTGAAGAAGACGAAGTTTTCCGCCGGGGGTCTTGATGACTCGGACGTTGTTGGACGAGGTGTTGTATCTGTTAGGTTTTGCGGGTGGTTGTCAGCTATTGAACATCGTGCCCATTTCATTTCCTCCATGGTTTTGCGACGGTCTTGGTCTTCCGCAGAGTTGACAGGAATATACGTACGGGTTCCGGCGACGGTACTGAAGTCTGACGCCTGCCATTGCGACGGTGTTTGATAGGCAATGGGATGTGTTGAAGGCGAGGAAATCGTTGCGTGTCGTGAATCTGCGGTTGACTTGACGAGAACCGCTTCTGCGAAAATCCGTGTGCGAAGTTTCTCTGCCGATGATCCTCCGGCTTGGCGCCAAGTCCTAATTCTGGTTCTGGCTCTTCCCCAGTCACGTGTGCGGGCGAAACTGTCCTTGACAAGTCAAGTTTTCTTTGCGATTTGGTAGCGAACGCACGCTTCGCAGGTCAACAGTTGTCGCACTCAGTTCATCCACTAAAGCCTCCAGCTGGTGGATGATATATCTGAGTATCTACGAGCAGATAAGTTCGCCCCCGAGGGAGAGGGCAGAACACGTGTCGTAAATGGTAAGCGACTTTCAAACATCTCTCTGAGACCGAACCACGAGTTCATCTTCTCTATCGCGACAGTCACCATCATCCGCCCAACGATAGCATGGCTTCAATACCGCCCCCTCCTCCGCCAGGATGGGGTGCTGGATTGCCGCCTCCGCCTCCCCCTGGGATGGCTCCTCCACCTCCGGGCTATCGTCCTCCCGTCGACCCTCGTGTAGCAAAGTTTGCACAGAAAAAGAAGGAATGGCTCCGCACGCAGCGCAATCGGTATGGTGAAAAGAGGAAGGGCGGCTTTGTGGAAACCCAAAAGGCCGATATGCCGCCGGAACATCTGAGGAAGATCGTCAAGGACATTGGAGACGTCAGTCAAAAGAAGTTCAGCAGCGACAAAAGAAGTTATCTGGGCGCGTTGAAGTACATGCCACACGCAGTATTTAAGCTCTTGGAAAACATGCCCATGCCTTGGGAGAGCGCGAGGGAAGTCAAAGTGTTGTATCATGTCAACGGGTGTCTGACACTCGTGAATGAAATTCCCCGGGTCATCGAGCCTGTTTTTCACGCGCAGTGGGCAACCATGTGGGTTTCGATGAGACGAGAGAAGAGCGACAGGAGACACTTCAAGCGCATGCGTTTTCCTCCTTTCGACGACGAAGAACCACCGCTGTCTTGGTCGGAAAACATCGAGGACGTCGAACCTCTCGAACCTATTCAGATGGAACTGGATGAGAATGAGGATGGCCCTGTATACGAATGGTTCTATGACCACCGGCCTCTTCTGGACACGCCACACGTCAATGGTCCGAGTTACAAGACGTGGAACTTGACATTGCCACAAATGGCCACCCTTTATCGACTGTCTCACCAGCTCTTGAGCGACGTGGTGGACAAGAATTACTTCCACATGTTCGATCGCGAAAGCTTCTTCACCGCGAAAGCTCTCAACGTGGCCATTCCCGGTGGGCCACGATTCGAGCCGTTGTACAAGGATATTGATCCCAACGACGAGGATTTTGGCGAATTCAACGCAATTGATCGGATCATCTTCCGTGCACCGATCCGGACGGAATACAGGGTCGCATTCCCTTATCTCTACAACTCGCTGCCACGAAGTGTGAAACTCTCATGGTACTCTCACCCTCAGGTTGTCTACGTCAGATCAGAGGATCCCAACTTGCCCGCGTTCTATTTTGATCCAGTCATCAACCCTATCTCTTCACGGTCAGTGGCGCCAAAGAATATTACTGTCAGCCATGAGGATGAAATCTTTGGGGAAGGCAATAACGAAGACGATGAATTCGAGCTTCCAGGCAACGTTGAGCCATTCCTCGCGGACGAGGAGCTGTACACCAGCGAGACAGCTTCTGCTATCGCGTTGTGGTGGGCACCTTTCCCATTTGATCGGAGATCCGGGAGAATGGTTCGTGCCCAGGACGTCCCTCTGGTCAAGCAGTGGTATCTCGAACACTGCCCGCCTGGCCAGCCAGTCAAAGTCCGAGTGTCATATCAGAAGTTATTAAAGACCTACGTTCTGAATGAGCTGCATAGAAAGAAGCCCAAGGCGCAGAACAAACAAGACCTTCTCAAGACGCTGAAGTCCACCAAGTTCTTCCAGCAAACGACCATCGACTGGGTAGAGGCGGGTTTACAGGTCTGTCGACAAGGATTCAATATGCTAAATCTTCTGATCCACCGGAAGAATTTGACGTATCTCCATTTGGACTACAACTTCAACCTTAAACCCGTCAAAACTCTGACGACAAAGGAGCGTAAGAAATCAAGATTCGGCAACGCGTTCCACTTGATGCGAGAGATTCTCAGGCTCACCAAGCTCATCGTCGACGCGCAGGTCCAATACAGACTTGGCAACATCGATGCATTTCAACTAGCTGACGGAATTCTCTATGCCTTCAACCACGTCGGACAATTGACTGGAATGTATCGGTACAAATACAAGCTCATGCATCAGATCAGATCGTGCAAAGACCTGAAACACTTGATCTATTATCGCTTCAACTCTGGTCCAGTCGGAAAAGGTCCAGGTTGCGGCTTTTGGGCCCCTGCCTGGAGAGTTTGGCTCTTCTTTATGCGTGGCATTATTCCTCTGCTTGAACGATGGCTCGGGAACTTGTTGTCAAGACAATTCGAAGGCCGACACAGCAAGGGCGTGGCAAAGACAGTCACAAAACAACGCGTGGAGTCTCACTTTGACCTTGAACTTCGAGCTTCGGTCATGGCAGACTTGATGGATATGATGCCCGAAGGTATTAGACAGAACAAGGTCAATACCGTGCTCCAGCATCTTTCCGAAGCGTGGCGATGCTGGAAGAGCAATATTCCCTGGAAAGTCCCAGGGTTACCTGCTCCGATTGAGAACATAATCCTGCGATATGTCAAGAGCAAGGCTGACTGGTGGATTTCTGTGGCTCATTATAACCGAGAGCGTATCAGAAGAGGTGCAACCGTCGACAAGACAGTAGCCAAGAAGAACCTTGGTCGCCTCACCCGATTATGGCTGAAAGCTGAACAAGAAAGGCAGCATAACTACATGAAAGACGGTCCTTATGTTTCCTCGGAGGAAGCCGTCGCCATTTATACGACCACCGTCCATTGGCTTGAATCACGAAAATTCTCGCCCATTCCCTTCCCCAGTGTGTCTTACAAGCATGACACGAAGATTCTCATTCTGGCCTTGGAAAGACTTAGGGAAGCCTACTCTGTTAAGGGCAGACTGAACCAGAGTCAGAGAGAAGAGCTGGCCTTGATCGAACAGGCTTACGATTCGCCAGGAACTACCCTTGCTCGAATCAAGCGTTTCTTGTTGACTCAACGAGCATTCAAAGAAGTCGGCATCGACATGAATGACAATTACAGCTCAATCAACCCGGTATACGACGTTGAGCCCATCGAGAAAATTACCGATGCATATCTTGACCAGTATCTCTGGTACCAGGCTGACACCCGGCATCTCTTCCCATCGTGGGTCAAGCCTTCAGATTCAGAGGTCCCACCCCTTTTGGTCTACAAATGGGCTCAGGGGATCAACAACCTGACAAATGTCTGGGAGACTGCAGATGGAGAATGTAACGTCATGATCGAAACGCAGCTTTCCAAGGTCTACGAGAAGATTGATTTGACTTTGCTCAACCGTCTGCTTCGACTCATTATGGATCACAATCTGGCGGACTACATCACGTCGAAAAATAATGTGCAGCTGAATTACAAAGATATGAACCACACGAATAGCTACGGCATGATTAGAGGCCTTCAGTTCTCAGGCTTCGTCTTCCAGTACTACGGACTGGTTATCGATCTTCTCCTCCTGGGCCTTCAACGAGCGAGCGAGCTCGCTGGACCGCCTCAGAGCCCTAACGACTTCTTGCAATTCCGGGACAGAGAGACGGAGACCAGACATCCCATTCGGTTGTACACACGATATATCGACAAAATCTGGGTCTTTTTCAGATTCACTGCAGAGGAGTCGAAGGATTTGATCCAGCGCTTCTTAACTGAGCAGCCCGATCCGAACTTTGAGAACGTGATTGGGTATAAGAACAAGAAATGCTGGCCTCGAGATTCTAGAATGCGGTTGATGAGACACGATGTCAATCTCGGCCGGGCCGTATTCTGGGATTTGAAGAACAGACTGCCTCGTTCAATCACCACGATTGAATGGGATGACACGTTCGCGAGCGTCTATTCCCGGGACAATCCCAATTTATTATACTCAATGTGCGGCTTCGAAGTCAGAATCTTGCCAAAGATCCGCAACCAGAACGATGAATTCCCGATCAAAGACAGCGTTTGGGCTCTCGCCAACAACGAAACCAAAGAGAGGACTGCGTACGCTTTCCTCCAGGTCACCGAAGAAGATATCCAGAAGTTCAACAACCGCATTAGGCAGATCTTGATGTCTTCGGGCTCAACGACATTTACCAAGATCGCAAACAAGTGGAACACGACCCTGATTGCCCTGTTCACCTACTACCGAGAGGCTGCCGTGTCTACTGTCAACTTGCTGGACACCATTGTCAAATGCGAGACCAAGATCCAAACTCGTGTAAAGATCGGCCTGAACTCTAAAATGCCTTCTCGTTTCCCCCCGGCTGTTTTCTATACGCCCAAGGAGCTCGGCGGTTTGGGCATGATCTCAGGTTCTCACATTTTGATCCCGACTAGCGATAAACGATGGTCCAAGCAAACAGATACTGGTGTCACTCATTATCGAGCCGGCATGACCCATGACGAGGAAACTCTTATTCCCAACATCTTCCGATATATCATTCCGTGGGAGGCTGAGTTCATCGATTCCCAGCGCGTGTGGACCGAATATTCTCAGAAGCGGTTGGAAGCCAACCAGCAGAATCGAAGACTTACTCTCGAAGATCTCGAGGACAGCTGGGACAGAGGTCTACCGCGTATCAATACCCTGTTCCAGAAAGACCGGAGCACTCTAAGCTTCGACAAAGGCTTCAGAGCCCGGACAGAGTTCAAGCAATACCAGTTGATGAAGAGCAACCCTTTCTGGTGGACGAGTCAGAGACACGATGGGAAACTGTGGAATCTGAACGCCTATAGGACCGATGTCATCCAAGCATTGGGCGGTGTCGAGACTATTTTGGAACATACTCTGTTCAAGGCAACAGCATTCCCATCTTGGGAAGGTCTTTTCTGGGAGAGAGCATGTCTCGCCAATGGTACCATGCTGCTGCGGTATGACGGCTCCCAGGTCGCTGTCGAAGATGTCGTGGAAGGAGATCTGCTTATGGGACCTGATGGTGGTCCTCGTCGCGCGTTCAACATTGTAAATGGAAAGGATCGTCTGTATCGTATCAAGATCGAATCCGATGTGGAAGACCTCGTCGTCACATCGAACCACATCCTGGTCTTCTATCACCAGAAGAGCAGTGAGAACCAGCACGACGGCTCCCACCTCCCTCACCATCAGCAGGGGGCGGAAGGCGATATCGAGGACTCGCGCCAGTCCAGCTCTGACAGAAAACGGTCTGAGAGTTTCATCAAGCCCACTCAACGCTATGAAACTGTTGAGATTACGGCGGCAGAATTTGCGGGGCTGAAGCCAACCCAGAGGGCCCAATACCGGCTTTTCCGATCACCTGGATTCGCGGCGCCAAAGCACACCGTGGAAGTCGACCCAGAAGTCCACAGCTTTGTCGTTGAGGATATTTCCCTTGAGTCCGAACCCACCAAATGGTCTGGTTTCCGCGTTGACAAGGATCAACTCTACCTTCGCCATGATTACCTCGTGCTCCACAACAGCGGCTTTGAGGAGTCTATGAAATTCAAGAAACTCACAAACGCCCAACGTTCTGGTTTGAACCAAATTCCCAACCGTCGCTTCACCCTGTGGTGGTCGCCAACTATCAACAGAGCAAATGTCTACGTTGGTTTCCAGGTGCAGCTTGATTTGACCGGCATTTTCCTTCACGGCAAGATCCCTACGCTGAAGATTAGTTTGATGTAAGTCTTTCCCACTCCGTCCCTCCTAGCACATACTAACGAATACTTCCAGTCAGATCTTCCGTGCCCATTTGTGGCAGAAAATCCACGAATCCGTTGTCATGGACTTGTGTCAAGTTTTCGACCAGGAGCTGGAGCAATTAGGCATTGAGACCGTGCAGAAGGAGACGATCCACCCTCGAAAATCGTACAAAATGAACAGCTCCTGTGCGGATATCCTACTGTTGGCCAGTCACAAGTGGAATGTGACTCGACCTTCTCTCCTCTTCGACACGAAAGATCAGATTGAAGCCACGACAACCAACAAATTCTGGGTCGACGTCCAATTGCGGTATGGTGACTACGACTCTCACGACATTGAACGCTACGTCCGGGCTAAATATCTCGACTATACCACTGACAGCATGAGTATCTACCCTTCGGCGACAGGTCTGATGGTCGGTATTGACCTCGCATACAATCTGTACTCTGCATATGGACAATATTTCCCTGGTTTGAAGGCGTTGGTGCAGCAGGCAATGGCAAAGATCATGAAAGCAAATCCAGCCCTTTACGTGCTCCGCGAACGCATCAGGAAAGGTCTACAGCTGTACGCGTCTGAAAGCACTCAAGAGTTCTTGAACTCGCAGAACTACTCGGAACTGTTCAGCAACCAAACTCAACTGTTCATTGATGACACAAATGTGTACCGGGTGACGATTCACAAGACATTCGAGGGCAATCTGACGACGAAACCTATCAACGGCGCCGTTTTCGTGTTCAATCCGAAGACTGGACAGCTCTTCTTGAAGATCATCCACACCAGTGTGTGGGCTGGTCAAAAGCGTCTTGGGCAATTGGCTAAATGGAAAACTGCGGAAGAAGTCGCGGCGTTGATCAGGTCTCTGCCCGTCGAAGAACAGCCCAAACAGCTCATTGTCACTCGCAAAGGTCTCCTCGATCCGCTTGAAGTTCACTTGTTGGACTTCCCGAACGTTTCGATTCGAGCTTCGGAGCTCCAGCTGCCATTCCAGGCTGCGATGAAGGTGGAAAAGTTGGCCGATATGATTCTGCAAGCCAAGGAGCCGCAGATGGTTCTGTTCAATTTGTACGATGACTGGTTGAAGTCGATATCGTCGTACACGGCCTTTTCGAGATTGATCCTTATTCTCCGCGCTCTGCATGTGAACACGGACAAGACGAAGCTGCTTCTCCGACCTGACAAGACGGTCATCACTCAAGCACATCACATCTGGCCTACTCTGTCGGACGAAGACTGGATCAAAGTCGAGGTTCAGCTTCGAGATCTTATCTTGAACGATTACGGCAAGAAGAACAATGTCAACGTCCAGTCCCTCACCAGCAGTGAAGTGCGAGACATTATCCTGGGTATGGAGATCTCGGCGCCGTCGATGCAACGCCAGCAGGCGGCGGAGATTGAAAAGCAGCAACAAGACCAACAACAACTGACTGCGGTGACCACCAAGACTCAGAATGTTCGCGGAGAGGAGATTATTGTAACGACGACTTCGCAATACGAGCAACAGTCGTTCGCCTCCAAGACGGAATGGCGGACACGGGCGATTGCGACGTCGAACCTGAGGACGCGTGCGAACAACATCTACATCTCCAGCGACGACATTCACGAATCGGAGGACTCGTACACGTATGTACTCCCCAAGAATATACTCAAGAAATTCATCGCGATTGCGGATCTGCGTGTCCAGGTGGCGGGATATCTCTACGGCTCGTCACCGCCAGACAATGATCAGGTCAAGGAGATCCGCACTATCGTGATGGTGCCGCAGGTTGGATCTACACGAGAGGTGCAGTTACCGCATCAACTACCACAACATGAGTATCTCAAGACCATGGAGCCACTCGGAATCATCCACACCGTGAGTGGTAATGAGACATCGTACATGACCGCGGCGGATGTGACGATGCATTCTCGCCTGATGGCGCAACATCCCAGCTGGGACAAGAAGACCATCACGTTGACAGTCTCGTTCACGCCGGGATCGGTGTCGCTCAGCTCCTGGACACTTACTCCACAAGGATACGCGTGGGGGGCCGCGAACAAGGACACGCAGTCGGACAGTCCTGCGGGCTTTTCGACCTCGTTTGGAGTCAAGACGCAACTCCTCCTGTCTGACAAGATCCGGGGCTATTTCCTCGTCCCCGAGACGGACGTGTGGAACTACAGTTTCATGGGGGCGCAGTTTTCGACGGTGGAGAAGAGGCCCGTGTACGTCAAGATTGACACGCCGCGACGGTTCTACGACGACTTGCACCGGCCCGTGCATTTCAGCAGCTTTAATGAGTTGGAGGACATATGGGCTGACCGGGAGGATGCATTTGCATGATTATATTTTCGGGGAGGGGGGATTGAGTGCGCGATAGCGACGACCAAGGCAAGGCAACAAAAGCTTGAGGAGGAGAAGGTAGTTTGTTTAGTGGCTGGTATTCCCCTGTAAGATATGAAGATGACAATGACTCTGTCTCCTGAATGTGATGGAGTATTAGTTTTTATCCATGTATGTATGCATGCATGTATGCGCTACGGCACGAAGGACATGCTTATGCGACGGCCAGTGACCTACCTCCATGGTTAAGGAGGGCATTGTATTGTAGTTGACTGCATTGAACTCGATTTGGATATTGATCTTTGATGTCGGTATCGATATTGGTATTGAGCGGTTCATTCTCAACCTTATACTTTGTCCTCACCCCCCGCCCTCGCTCTCGATCAGTCCTTCACTCAGCCTATAGTATACACCAGTTACTAAGTAGGACTTACTCAGACGAGGGACGGATGACGGATGACGGACGATTGGGTTTAACGACTAGCTTAACTGACTCAGAGACGTATGGAACGGTAGGTACGTAGGTACAGGGTACATAAGGTAAGAAGTACATGGTCAACCCGTATCCGGGTACATCCTTTTTGGTGTGTATATGTAGCTCCTACCTATATTTGTATGTAGATAGTGAGAGGTACAATAATAGGTCTATACCGTGTGGATGGACTTCTAGCATGAATAGTCCTCTTCCCCGTGTTCCTTGCGTAATTTACATTGTGATCATATGCGTCCTAACGGTTTTGACCGTAGAAGACGTCTCTCCATTGGACTCGTTGCTAGGTATTTTCCTGATACGAAGAGAGATAACCCGGTATCAGCATCTTAACAAGTCCTTTTCCTCGCAGTCGTCAGCCGCGCCGTCGACAACTTGCCCTGCTCTCGAATGGGATCCAGAAAGGCACATCCGCCGTCCTGGGGTATCAACGACGGCTCGTCCTCAACGTGCGACGAGTCCTCGCCCGCCGACAGAAGCACACGTCGGAAACAAATTCAACATGGCACAATCGTCACGTCACGCCCGGCGACGTATTCCGGACAATTCAGACATTCTGGGAGAGGTGAACGTGCACATGGTTCGGGGCGCCGGACGCAATATGACGTTGACTCCGCCGAGGAGTAACACGTGCAGCCGACACAGAGGTGATGGATGATCATGCCGAATTGGGAGAAGATGGCTGCGTTAGCGGTGTTGCTTTGTTGTCTGCATATGTTCGCGCCCATGAGAGCTGTGTCTGGATCTGGATCAATCTCATTGATTCATGTTGGGTAGCAAACGATGCCTTACTCCCTCGCAGCCTGTAAATCATGCACCAACTGAGACTCGGTCCCCAAGGGGATGGAACATGAGAGTGTTAGGAGGGTATCTTGGCTAGTTTCTTTTGGAACACGAATCATATAGTGTTGTCGGGCATTTTGGATCGTCAGCGAGCGCTTGGAGAATAGGTGATTCTCCTATCTCAATGGACTGATCCGTCTGGAATCACTTCGCTTTTGATCCTGGAATCACCTCTCGCGGGTCCTCCACTTTTTGTGCCATGTTATCCCAGGTCATGTCTCCAGCCGTGGCATGATCAGGCATCAAGAAAATGGTACATCAGAAAAAACCACCTGTCTCAAAAAATCAGGTTCGGGTAACCCTCCATAGGTTCAGAATGGTATGCAGATGCAAAGTCTGCTTCACTGATCGCACCATAGGCGAAAGCGTCGAGCGCCATTATCGGGTTGAAGTCGGCCGGGTTGTACGTATGTGGATTGAGCGACGACATATGTTGCTGAGGTAGCTGGTGATGCTGTTCTTGATGATGTTGTTGCTGCTGAGGTGGCTGAACGACGTGCGCATGCAGGCTCTCAACGGGGATAAATTGGCTGCCTACTGCGGGCGGCTTGACGTCTTCCTCTTCCTCCTCAATAACGTAGCCCGTCTGTGTCCGCGTCTGTCTTGCCTTTGGCGACGAAGCTGGTAGCGGTAACCTCGCATTCTGTGCCTGGGCATGCATCCGCGTGTGCATCATGCCGCTGGGAGATGAACATGGAGACTTGGGGATGTGATTGAACGCTGGCATATCACTATACAACTCGGGGAATCTCTGAAAGATGTCTGGCCCCATGGTCCAACACTTGATGTCCTTCAGTCGCTGGTCAAACGTCGGGGAGAACTTGTAGAGTCCAGTCTCGATTTCTCGCGTGTAGCAGTCCCGAAATTCGTATGGCCAGAGAATGCGGAAGGATTTGCAGAACAAATGCCAAAAGTCGTTGCCGCAATAGTCGTGTTCGTTGAAGATGAAACGTTCCCTAACACCAGGCCATGCAAAGTAGTCGATGGCGTACGAGTGCGCGATCTTCTGAGACGGGCGACGCATGTACCATGGCGGGAGTCGTGCGTAACGATCAGAGGTTGAGGCGGTATGGAATTGCAGCAGGGTATGCATGGCTCGCATGATGGCGAGACGTTCGGTGTTGGGACACTTGGCGAACAGCGTCTGGTCGATCCGGCGCAGGATTTTCCAGGAAGGATGCAGGGGAGCTCGCTTCGCAACGGCATCCCATCCCTCAATTATAGCACGGATTGGGACGTCGTCGCACAGATCGTCAGATTCTGGAGCCACTTCCTCGTTCCAATCGAAGCGTTCGCTTAGCACCTCGTTCGCGTAACGCCAGTAGTTTCCCCGCCAAACCGAACGACGGCCGGGCTGACGATCGTTGCAGCTGTGGCATGAGCAGGATCGTCGGGGGGCAGCCCAGTTGTCGCTCCAGTTGCATGGCATCGGGTTCGGCTCTTTCTCTCCCTTGGCTTGCACCATAACCTGGGTGGGAGAATGGCTCTCATCAGACTGCAAGGGCACTACTTCTGGTGCAAAAAGGAGATCTTGGGATTGCAGCGGCAAGCTCGGTGTGGGCGAGAAAGTAGCGAGGTCGAAATTCTGCGTCGGACTGGCTCCTGACTGCATGTCGGTGTGTTCGTGTTGGAAGGGGAGGCAAGGGCCGTCTCGGACAGGCGTCAGACTGGCATTTCGCTCGCCACTGGTCTCTTCCTGGGCCATTGTCGCCATGAATACTGTGCTCTTGTCTTCCACCTCTTCGCCGAGCGACTTGGGTAGCTTATGCGTGTCCATGGCCTTCTGTATATCCTTCAGGGTCTTAGCCATGAGATCTCTTTCTAATTCCACCTCTTTCAGTTGCTTCAACAGGGTGGCAACTTGACCGCTAGAGTCCTGGCGTCGGAATTCCTCCACGAGACCTTCGAGGTAGGCAATACGGGACTTTGTGCGTTCGCGAGCTTGACGCTGGCATCGTCGGTCGATCTCCCGCTTCTTCAAGCGGCGGGACGAGACGCCTTGGGTTTCGTGGGTGTCGGCAGGTCGAGCAGCAGCACCAGCTCCCTGGCTGAGCGTGGTTGTATGCGTAGCCATCGTGACAACAGATGGGTTGTTGTTAGGCACACTGGCGCATAGCGACTGAAGAAAGGTTGTTCAGGATGGGAAAGGATGAAGACGGGGGGAGAGGAACGTGCGCCATGATGGTGATTGACCCAGAACAAGGGTAATGAATCCGTTCCGAAGTTTGTGAGGTGGCTAACGCTGTTCCAGACATGAGCGTCTCAGGCGGAACCGCACCTGGAGTCGGCCGAGCCTCGTCACTGGCTGAGAGGTCAGTAGGCCACTTAGTACAACTAGGCTGAGCTTCGGGGTTGCGGGGTACCAGTAAGAGTCAAGTGTGGGAGGGAGATGGTCACAACCCTTGGACAGCTGTGCAACCTCAGCACCTCTGGTTAAACTCTCCCTTGAAACAGGGCACTCAGGGCACCCAGGCACCCAGGCAGTCCAGGGCATCCGTGAGCAAACTCGATCATGCCTAGGCATTTGCCACATTGGGCCCCCCTTTCGCTCCCCCCACTCCCCGACAAAATGGTGAAATTTCGGGGGCATCCCGATGACACTTCTGTGCGTCCGAAGCCAGATTTCCCCCAGATGGTCTCATCTCTCATCTCATGCCCCGGAGAAGTGAATACGAGATTCAAGCGTTCCTTCGGTCCCCAAGCAGCCACTCAGCAAACACAGACGAGCCTCGATTTCCCGGCGACCTCAGGAGCTAGAAAACCAGCACCTCGTCCTCATTGGTAGTTTCATGCGAGGGTCCTTCTCAATTTAGGGATAAAAACGTGTAATCGTCACAATCCGAGGTATGCTTGGTGATGGAGCGGACGAATTATGCTTGGACGAGGTGCTTGTGCTCTGACCGACCCAGACCGAAAGTGAAGCGGGCTTCATTATTCAAGATTTAGATGGACCTGATGCACATTCTCGGTAGGCACCTAGGACAGTGAAGGGGTTTGTCAGCAGGAGATTCCAAATCCCCCACTTCCTTACTCGTCAAGGCGGGGATACCGTGGAATTCGATAATTACAGCGTTGAGTTCCCAGCTATTCGGGCGATCGGTTTACCCATTTCCCCCTTTGACGCCAAGAACAAAGACTTCAAACGCTCCCCCTCTCTCTCCACCCACAAATGCCTCTGAACTGGCAAACTGGATCGATGGCGTGCCCACTGCCCATTGCCTACGGTGCACCTAATCCACTAGCGATTCTAATGCACGATACAGTAGCCCGGCGACCTTGGTTCGAGTCCAAGATGCATCATGTTCATGTGCACCCGTATGTCTGTCTTGTCTGGTCGCGAACGAGGCTAGCCCTGAGTGTCTGCGTGTTCGAAAGACTGTTTTGGGTAATGGGGCATCAGGCTCCGGCGTCTCTACGCTTTCTTATTGGTCGCCTTGCGACTCTCGACCTGTTATGCAAGATGTGCTTCGGAGATAAGTATCCCTCTTCCCTGTATATGTACTCGGTTCGTACCTAGCTTCTCTTGCTAGTCCATTGCACCATGTTCATGGTCCACACGACTCGTACCCGGTCAACGACCCCTCCTAAAAATGCCCCTCCTCTTTCACCATCTTTTTCAGATCCAGAAAATCTCTTATCCATCCCTCCTGTCCTGTCGCTATATATCCCAGACCAGGTGGCTTTCTGCGTCTCCAATTCTTGATTCGCATCATCGCACATCCCGATTCCCACAATGTCGAGCTGCTGCACTACTGGCTTCCGATGGGAGGGGACTCCCCGAGGCCATGAAGCCACCCTCGCCGGCAAGAAAGCCTATGTCACCGGCACCAACAAGGACGCCGCCGTCCTCATCGTCCACGACATCTTCGGCTGGACTTTCACCAACGCTCGAGTGCTAGCCGACCACTATGCCGAGGAAGCAGACGTAACCGTGTATTTGCCTGACTTGTAAGTATCGTATCTGGATGGACCGAAAGAAGAAGACCACAGCACCCGTTCGTTACCCAGTATCAATCCAGCATCGGGACATCTCGCGCAATGGTCAAAAAGGTTGCTGACGACTCACCCCTTCTTCGATCGTTGGCTCCAGCTTCGACGGCGAGGTCGTCTCTCCAGACCGTCTCTTTGGGACAGGCGAACACGTAAAGAGCGAGCCATTCGACGTCATGGCCTTCTTGGGCCGACACAGCAAGGAAGTCAGGCAGCCGGGGATCTTTGCTTGTGCCACCGCCCTGAAAAAGGAATTGGGCTATAAGAAAGTCGGCGCAATTGGCTTCTGCTATGGTGGTTGGGCCGTCTTTCGACTGGGTGCCAAAGGTCAGTTTTGGATCGTTTCCCTCACCTAGGAAAGCCTTCTGTTTGCATTCTGGGCGGGATGATTCCACCGTTGGATCATCTGAACTCATGTTTAACAACTGTGGTATGGATTGAAACAGGCAACAACCTCGTCGACTGCGTGTCCACCGCACACCCGTCTCTGCTCGAGAAACCCGAGATCGACGCCATCAGCGTGCCGGTACAACTCATCGCACCAGAGACGGATCCGACATACACCCCCGAACTCAAGGAGTACTCTCTGAAAGTCCTGCCGACGCTGAACATCGATTTCGACTACCAGTACTTTCCCGGCCTAGTCCATGGGTTCGCTACGAGAGGCGATACCAGCGACCCGGCCCAGAAAAAGGGCCTCGAAAGGGCCAAGAACGCCGCCGTCTCGTGGTTCCGAGAATATCTGCACTGAGCTCGACCGGTCGACTTTTATTTACCATCTTATCACTTTCAATTGCTGTGGAGAGCTTCGCAACTCGCTGCTCTGCCACACGCCCACTCTTTTGGCCTTTCTGTTTTTTGTTTTTTTTGTTGTTTTTTTTTTTCGCCAGAACTCCTGTTCAGCCGGTCCAGGAACTTGCTCAGTTCACGATCGATACTATTGATGGGGAACAAGGATAAGGACAAGTCCACTTTACTTGGACCGGGAAGATCTCAATGTTGAGTTTGAGTTCGGAGAGCGGGAGAGCAGCGACACTTGTGCGTGCAAAGTGGTAATCTGTCTTGTCGCCGACCAGACAGTCCCTAGTTAGTTAGCGACTATTATTATAGGAAGCAAACCGAAAGCAAGCCAAAGCCATTTTCTGGACTTGGAAATAGGCTTTGCATGATGATGGTGTGACGCATGGGTCTAACCCGGTACGAGCTACCTATCGTTCAAATGCCTATATATTAATCAACGGAGGCGGGTCGCAATATCTTTCTCCAAAACTCCTCCAACACCTTTGCCCTAGGTTGTACCTCGTACAGATGACTCCAACTAGAAAATATGGGCGTCATACCCAAGAAGCAAGAAAATCCGTCGCTATACTATTTTCCAACCTAATTCTATGCTTATAATAATGCCTTGCGGCTGATGGTTTTCATTATTCATAACCAAAATTCTATCATGGTCTTAATCTCCTCTTCCTGCTCCTCCTGCTCCTCCTGCTCCTCCGTGTGCATATCCTCCAAATGATAATCAAAGGAGAGTCTGTGGGAAATGTGTCGTGGACGGTCGTTGAACTGGTCATAAATAGGTCAAAGCTGGTGGGAGGCTGAAAAAACCACACCAGAGACTCTTATCGGTCATGAAAACCCCAAAAAATCAGGGCCCATTGAACCCTGTTTCTGCAACGATTTTTACCACCGAATGTTAGATCCGAGGGCTTGGAATTTTGACCTTGCCAACTGCTTCAATGCTCCGCACACATTAATGGGTATGTGGCCTTTTGATGGAGTGCAATGGCTCTGATCAGGTTGAGGCACTTGGTGCTATCAGCAGTCAACCAGAAGTGGAAGGCTTGCTGTGAAGACGCCTGCACAGTTCAACGAAATGCGTCGGGAAGCCGTGAGATTTGCCGCAGTAGATGAATCTCAAATACCGCATTGCTGTGGTGATACTGTGAGCTTGCTGATGGGTCTACTGAAAAGACGCATGACCCGGGAGGTAGGGCCTTGGTGAACGATTCTGTTCGGACCATTCTCATGCTCAAACTTGACTTCAGCTATTGCGTTGCGCAGATCTCGCCGGAAGGCACGACCGATCAAGATTTCCTGGCCATGGCCATCCTCAACCACCTTCACAGGGGTTGTGAAGAGAACGCCTTCGACGTTGCGAAGAGACCACTGGATGACAGCGATGCCGAGGACCTTAATCCCAGTGCCATCGTACTGAACAAGACCCATACGACTTTGAAGCTTCTCAGGCAAATCTTCGACTCGTGTCTAGGGTATCCCAAGTTTTGTGATGACACTCAACTCAGCCGTATTATCGTCTGCGCCGTCGTCAAAGACTGCACTAGCACCTTTGAGCTTGTCCTCATTGTGGCTGATGGCAGTAATGCTTTGGTTGCGCTGGATTCTATGGCCATCGTCAATCGTCTTCAATAGCTCCACCAACGCTGGCACTTCATCTATTGTTGGATGAGATACCACCGTGGGTGAGCCTGTCAACATGTTATGACTGAACGAGGGAAGATGGGAATCAGGGTCTGTGCTCGAGGATAGGAAGGAAGGTAGGTCCGGAGTTTGTGAGCGCGGGATAGCTATCGGCTTTCCCGATGACCCTCTAGGGTCTCGATCTTTGACGAGAGTGTTATGCTGTCACATCAAATGTTAACTGAACACAGGCAACGGAGGTTAATAGCGACATACTCTAGTACGCAGCCAACCCCTTCTAAACCAGCGGAATCTCCGCTGCCTGCTCGGAGACATGGATAGCTCTCCGCCGTCAGTCAAGTGCCGTGGAGAAGACATGGAAAATCCCTAGGGAGTTTGCACGGCTAAGTGGTGGCTTGTCGCAAATGATCTCGCTGTGCGAGCAGTCGATGGTGGCGGCCGAGAAGGGTCGGGGTTGCAAAACGAAAATGCAGCGTCACAGGGAGCGAGGGCGCTGTATTCGATAACAAGTGAATAGAATGATCGATGTGGACAAAGAATGCTCCAAATGCAATTGCAATCAATACCTGAATATTATAGTAATGGGGTTCAGAATGCTTGTACATAACGCGCGACCATTAACGCTGTCTCCGTTCTGGGTTCCTATCTGGCACTTTTTTTGTAGCGTAGTTTGAGATTCTTAGCCGTTCACCACAGTGAGTGCCCATATTCTTCTGCCACTACTATTACCTGCAGCCTCACAGAGGCGGCCACTTGCTCCTCATGCCATCTACAAATACAAGGTAGACGACGTGTCGAGCTGCCCAAATGCCTGCGTCTCCCACGCGCAATCTCCCTGTTTGACCATACCGGTCTCGTCCTGGTTTCAGGGCTGATTGCCTGGTGGCTTTTTGCTGCATTGGTTCGGCTGTGTCTTGCTGTGGCCTCTATTCGTGGGACAGGCAAGGACAGGCCAGCCAGCATTCTCATGATTCAACTTTCCCCCGCTTTTTCACACAAAGTAGATGTGCTGACTGTTTCAATCGTGCAGGGTGTCTGCTTCGCTTCCTTTGTTGGTTGCCTCAAAATGCGCTGGACCCGAATATCACAGCCTCACAGCCGCCCTTATTGCATTGTTTTCTGAAGGGGGTGCGATTGGTACATGACGTTGCCTGAGGAATGACAGCTGTCACATCATCATCTCGCAGCAGATGGCTCTCGACTTGGTGCGTTCACCCCAGCAATACGAGCAGAAGTTCAAACCTCTCGCGCAACCCTATACAGTGAACATCGATGGGGGGAATGGTGCAGTGTTATAGCAAAGTCACAGCAACCTGGCGTTGGATGGGCGGGGCCTACTCGGAAGAAGCTGACTGTGTCATTTCCTTTGATCTCAAAGGTCGACGCAAATTTTTCCTGCCACAACAAAAGGAGTCGTCGTCAGAGGGTTGTTCATCGTTAAAGCCTCTTTACAGCGTTGTGTCGACTGGTGGTGATTTCCACTCATCCTGACCATCACTTCACCACGTGGCTGTCTTGTATCAGAGCAGGTGAAACGACAGCGGGAGCACAACGATCAGGCAAACGCGGCTCACCGGGACGTTGTGGAGGTGTCGAGCAAACGCAAAACCGAAAAAGTTCACGGCACTGATCAAGGGCAATGAAAACACTCAAGGCGGGCAAGATCAAGGTCAATCTTCATCTGCGCAAAGGGTTGGCACGACAGCATGACGTTCTTGAATGGATTTCGTTTTTCTTCCAATAGGAATTCTGATGATGACAACGGTGATAATGACGGCCGGATCTGTTCAAGTTGGGAAAGGACGTGTTGCGTTACATGATGGATCTGTTGTAGGGCTAGTGCTCTGATACTTCATTATATCCATGCGCATGATTATACGGATGATCAGACTAGCGCACGTTTCCGCCGATAACACAAGAATCAAATACGTGAACGTCGGCGATCTTTTCAGACTTTGACCAAGGCGTTCAGCTAAGGTGTCACTGGTGTTCAAATTAACTTCTCCCCGAAAACCGCCGTCGTCGCGATATCCCTTAGCTTAATCAGATCCTATTCTCTGATCCCTGACCTTTGTTTTGAAAAAAGGAGGAGAAAAAAAAAACAATAACCTCGGCGGCTATCATTAAGCTGGTTGTGGCTGGGTTCCAACCACGAAGTTTACACCACCAACAAAAACGACCTGAACGGCTGCAAAGGCCGTCGTGGCGGCGAAGACCTCGTATCGGCGACCTTGCGCCACGAAGCTCATGATCAACGAGAACAAGGTGCACAGGGCGATGATGACCAGCAGCCGAGCAAGGATATTTTGAATATAGTAGAGGGCAACGATGGAGATAGACGGAATGACCGACGAAAGCACGGTGCAGATAACATTCCCTACAGCCGCGAAGTGACCATCGTCGTACCAGTATCGCGGCCCGATGGACCCATCATCAATCCTTGGATGAATGCGGTGGCCAATTTTGCTGTGATATATCGGCATTATGGTGTTGCTCACCCAGGCCGCGAAACGGTCTCTCCGCTTGTTCACAGTCATGAGGTCTCTGGCTTGCTGGGGATCCCACGCTCTGGCCTCGGCGGCCGAGTGCTTTTTGAGAAAGTTTTGACCTCCTCTTTCACTCTCCAGCCAAGTGCACAGGAAATCCATGTCGCACCGATCAGGCCGGGGCAGCTTGAGCACGCCAGATGTCTGTGTGACAAATTGATCTTTGGGGAGTGAATCAGCAAAACTCGCAACACGTAGGATGGACGCAGACAGGGTGGGCGCCTCGACGTACAATATCTCAGAAGTTTCTTCTCAGCATCTTCAATCAGTTCTTTTCGGATGCTCCGTTTCCCCTGGGCGATTGAGTCATTCGCCTTGGCCCAAGACTTTGCATGCTCTTGTTGTTCGAGATCGGTTTTCTCGGCTGCTCTGAGAAAGTCGAGGTCATCGTCGAGTTCAAGGATTTCAACCTGTAGATGGAGCAATACTTGTGACGCCAAGCGCCCGAAGCGGCGGAGGATGATGAGGTCTAGATATGTGCCTAGTAGGTCTGAAAGCTCGTCGTAGCTTACCATTCTTTAGAATGAACTAGGTCGAGCAGCAAGCGCAGCGATAAATCCATCACAAAAGAAAACGACACAATCAGGCCGGAACATTAGGCTTCCAGTGAGGTCTTTGTGATGGCGAAGACGCCTTGGAGATAAGTAAACACAATTGAGTGGAAGGCATTCCGCGTCTCTCAGCATAGCCTTCAAGGCTGGATCTGCGCAGAACCCCGTGGCCAGGAGGTGGCGAGAGGCTAAGCAAATCGAGGTCCGTGATGACATTGGTCGCGTTCGCTAGCGTATAAAGCGCCTTGACCATAGCGACCCGTCGAGCCGTAAACAGACAGACAGATGAACGGATTTTCCAGGGTTCATACAGACGCTCAAATACCTTGCTGGGCGTCAACGCCTTTGGGAGTCTCCTCCCATAGGAAGCTAGTAGTAGTACAGCTGGACATTGATGGGCGTCGGCACCAAGCCGCGTGGTGATGCCTCTACGAGAGACACGGGTGAGCGGTCACCCGACTCAACCAGACTTGTGGCCTGCCCGCGGCGAGTAATTACAAGGCAGCATCACCCTAGGCCTAACGCGGAGTGATTTACTTGTCGATTTCTCTTCTGACAGATCAGCCTTGCTAGTGTCTTCACTGCCCCTATATCTCTGGGGCGCGCCTCTCAGCCCATGACAAGGCAATACGGCGGTGTCGAAGAGAGTCGAGACAACTCACTACAGAGTGTTGTCCACGCTGAACCGCCGCCCGTCTAGGCCAAGCAACAACGAACTACGGCATCAGAGGAGACGAGGAGGGGAGAGGATCTGAAGGGTTGGGTAGTGGCTGGGCCGTCGTTGTCGCGCAGGGAGATGGGATTGGATCATACGGGTAGATCTGTCCCGGGTTTTCTACCGGGCTGGGATGAAAAGCAGTCTTTGACACTACTTGTATGCATACAGTCCTGGATCAGGATGGGATGGCTGTGAAGGAGGCCATGGAGAGGGTTCCGTCGCGAGGAATGATATTCGGGTGGAAAACTGTATTGAAGCAGAGAGTAAGATGTATACGGTGAAATGGAAAGAGAGGGAGAGGGAAATCAATCGTCTGCGGTGTGCCCATGCTGCAAACATAACACGGATTATGAATTTCCCGAGAGCTCTAAAAGGACCGTCTGTATGAATGAGGTTCCCCCTTCTCTGCTTTCGTCCCCATCCTGTTGCCTCGTCCCTTGTGCCTTCTGCCTCAGTCCCAGTCCCCTTTACTTGTATTTGTGCAACATACGGCACCACATCATGCTACACGATATGTCATACACGTGGATCTTTCTTCCATGCCCCTCAAGAACAACTAAACATCACAGCCCAGGGTCATAACGAGTGGCAGAGTTCTACCGCATGGGATGTATCATCGTTCTGTTACTGCCTTCTTCGAGTCCACTTCTTCGACCGACGCACTCGACTGACTCGAGACGCATGATGGCTTGTGTCGGGGAGAGGGAGGAGTTCGAGTAGACGTCGTCATGAAGAGGATAGGAATGTCCAGTCTCGCTCTGGATCTAGATTGCTGGCTAGTTGACGGTCTGTGACTCTGTCGTTCTCTCAGCTACGAAGCTGTTGCCTGTGACATGGACATGTGAGAGAAGGGCGTCGTGTTCGGGTCCAGTGACCAGTTGCTTCGACCTGCGACGTTTGTCTGTCCCCCTCTCTTTATGTGTATATTTGTGCATGCGTGCTGCGAAAGAAGAGGAACAACGAAGGAAAGGTAACAGGGGAATATACTAGACGTTTAGTGAGCGAAGGAGGGGGGGTGAATGCGTTTTTGTGCAAGGAGTACACACAGGAACCTTGGAAGTGAATCGGAAAGTAGCCAGTACCTACGAAGACACTACAGCTCCTTCACGAGACTAGAACAAACAATAAAACAGGTCTCTCTCTTCAGACACAGATATCAAAGACATACGCTTTAGGACCAACACACCCACACACTCTCGCTCTCTCTTCTCTCCATACCTGACGAACCCTCCCACATCTCTTACATCTCGCACCACCACGCTAAAGCTTCAGAGGAGTCAAGACTCTTGTCGTTCTTGCGTTGTCTCATCAACCCAACCATCCTTTTGCCTTCGTCGAGTCGGCGACTCGACTCGAATCGACTTGACCCGCCCCAGTGGAGTCGATATCAAAGGCACACTACACTACACCACACTACTCTACACTACAGAGTCCACATTACACTACACTACACTGCACCACCAGCAGATCCGTCGTGCCGTGCCGTGCCATGTCATGTCGTGGCAAACCTCTACCGTCAAACTTGAGCATGACAACGCCACACTACTCCGAACTACTCTACACTACCCTACCCTACGCGGGCAGGGGAGTACATCTTCGCACCAGATATAAATACGAATAGGGAGTCATGGAGATACACAAGCAGAGTGGGGCGGAGGCTGGCCGGGGATGATCAGCGTTGGCAATTGCAAGACTGACGGGACATGATGACTAGCTGGCTACATGGCTAGATATGAAGACTGCCGGCGTCCAATCTCAAGGTGGAACACCAAAAGATGCTTTAGCTCCTTACACGGAAGCCTAGAGACCATAGAGAATTGCGGATGAAAGGAAAAGTGGACAAACTACAGAGGCAAGGAAAAGTAACAACGTTCTGGTACCTTCTGGGTTCTTGACCCTGCCAAATTCGGATGCATACAAGTGGTGGGAGAGAGGGAAAGCAACCATACACCATGCCTTCGAACGTGCTGTCGTCCATTCCAGCATCCATGCCAGCTGTCCTGTATGTATCAATGTGCTGATATGCCCATGTCCAGATGTCCCCGATGAGCAAATGCCCTGTCTGTGCACCATGTCGCCTTCGCTTCGCTATGCTTCACCCCTCAAATGACCTGCAATATACCCTTGAGAGCAATGCATTGTGCTATCCCATATGCCTGCGGTTTTCCATTCTCTCGACAATCTGTGTAGAAAAACGAAAAGGTTCACAAAGGAATGAGTGTCCGGGTAGACAAAGAAAAAACAGCGACCTCGTGGTTTAGCGACGGCGTTGGACAGTCTGCCAGCCATCCGAGTCGGTCCCTTTCCTGGCACGGGTACCAACACCTGGAACAAATTTTGCAATATTCGGGTTGTAAGAACGGCCACTTGATCCAGACTTCCCACTGTTACTGCGATCTCGGGGACCTGTTCCGGGATAAGGAATTTGGGTGATCAAGTTCATGGGCCGTTCGCAAGGGTCATGAGAGAACCCAACCTGGACCTCTTGGTAGGGTCCTGGCCTCCTCGATCGACGAAGAAACTCCTCTCGGACAATGCGGGCAATGACGGTAGACGAAAAGACCGCAGTAGCTAGTGCAATAGAAGTCAGAGCGATGACAAGGTAGGGGAAGGGGGTACCGACTTACCATTACCAGTGTTAAACAACCATACCAACTCGACATTATGTCGACCGACAAGTTCAACCAAGTCCCTCCTAAATCTCTCTTCAGTCAAGCCGTTGGTGAAGAGTTGTTGACGAGCAAAGGTCAAGCGACGACGCTCGTTGGTCGGAGGTTGCATTCGAGCAAGGTCCTCGTTCTCGGGATAGGCCTCGCCATACTTGACCTCATGGCCTTTTCCAAACAAGCCACAGCCATAGTCATGAACGGCTTCGACTTCCTCGTTCATGAAAACCATGGCGGCACCGGCGTACTGGAAGATGACACAGACGGCCTCATATTGCTCCACGTATGCCATGGAAAAGATGGCACCAGTGCTAATCCGTTCCGTCACCATGCTCAAGGGCTTATCTTTGGACCAGCCATAGATCCAGATGCAGCGGAAGTCCTCCTCCCGCGATGGACCGCATTGACCCTGGTTCGAGGCTTGCTCGGTGATGTGTCGCTTTAATCCGTCAGACGGTCCAAACTTGACCAAACGATTGTTGCTTGGGATGTCGGTTGCAGCAACCGCTGCCCAAGTGGATGAAGTATTGGATCTTGCAGCAGGACAACCTGCGTTGCCGTTTTGAGGGAGAAGTTGAGCTTTGGCAACAGGGATAGAGTTCATGCGGAATTTCTCAATAGACCAAGGAGCCGTGGTCTGATTGAACGTGTCAAGCATGGAGTGGACGTCTCGTGCAATGCCATTCGCTGCTTCATTTTCACCCTCGCCTCGCAGCTTGTTCCATGATTAGTCCAGCGTGCTGCACATGGGAACAGCCGTTCCTTACATGCTCCACAACCCGATTCAAGTGGCTCAGGGCATCCGCCATAATGTCGCTGACATGGAGAGGGTCGTTTCCGATTGCCATCATGTCCTGTGTTGATGCCTGATTAGCACGGGTTCGTCTTTTTCGCCTTGCGCAGAATCTGGAGAGGGACGAGGGGTTTTGGGGGAAAAAAAGACAAAGGATGGGTGTGTTCAAGGGTAGGGAGGGACCAACTTCAGAGTCTTCACTACTGGCGTCACTGTAGATGAGAGAAGGAGAATAGATTGGATGGTGGGAGGGGTGGCCGAGGCTGCGCCAGGTTGGGCTAGAGGTGGTAGAGGAGGAGGAATATCTGGAGAGCATCATGGTGAAAGAGGGAGGAGGAGAGCAGGAGATGTGTCTCAACAACTCTGAAGGGGGTGCGGCACAAAGGCAGGGCACTTGGGGGGTGAAGCGTGAAGCGTCAATAGAGCTTCCTCTCCTCAAGCCCAAGGCAGTAAACAAGATTGTGTGTTTCCTGTCGCCACTTCACTTTGGATGCCTGGGGGAAACAAAGAAGTCAAGGAAGGCTCCCGCTACAGAACCAGAAACAGCAGTGCAGGTTTCGCGTCAAGCAGCAGCTACCCGAACCAAGATAAAAGAGCTGGTTTTGATGGTCTTTTTTTTCTTTCTTCAAAAGATATCAAGATAGTTCGATGGACTGGGTTCCTTTAGATTTTGTTTTCAGCACTGAGGATGTGGGAATTTGTTTGCTCCTCCCAGTCCTGGTGGGAATCTCATCTCATTTGTATGTCTGGCCACCTCCAACCATTGCTCCACAGTGGGAGAAACCAC